GAGACTGAGACAAAACAGCTATGTATTAGCGGTTCAATGTTTCATAGTGACGCGCAATATGTAAACTATAGATATAAAAGATACAATGGGGTTGACGTGTCTAAATAGACAAAAACCCCTAACCAACAACAGATACAAAAAAAGCCTATGAAATTATTTACATAAGATGTTGTTTTGTTTTTGATGCCACTTTTAACACGTTTTTTTTAAAAGCACAAAACGAGGACTGAATACAAAGCATGTACGACCAGGGCCCAGACGTGACGGATTGAGGGACTAATCCTTGCCTCGACTATACATAAAGCATATAGATACGATAAATTTAAAAAATCTTCATCTAATTAAATAAAAAAGAAACAACATTAAACAAAATTGAGAATGTTAAAGTATTTATATCACGTTAAAAAAAATAAAAAATCATTGATTAAAAGCGTTCCATTATATCAATATAAAGACATATTATTTCAAGTCATCCATAAATTACCTTTTTTTACACGCTTACTTAAGTTTATAAAAATATAACGTAAATTTTACACCTATCGCTAATTTCTTGTATTTGATATTTTAATTTTACTACCACAAAGAAATAAACTGCCTAATCGATAAAAAAAACAGAGGCAGTCATAAATTAAAGAAGTTTAAAGACGAAAGAAGTAAAAGTAGTTTGAAGACTGTCTGACTGTTTAAAGACTGTCGATAGAAGAGAAAACTCAAAACAATGGAACTACGCGTCGCTAATAGTCTGTCGCAATACGTCATGAACATATCGAGTTCATGAATGACGCGAACCAGTTAGTTTTTCCCCCTACCAAAAATTGCACAACGCGGCTAAAAAAGTTTTCACTTCAGAAAAATTATTCCTTTTTTTTAACGCATCTAAATATAGTATCGATATTTTCCTAATATAAAATTGAAAATAAAAATAAAGGAAATAATTAGTACCTTCTTTATTTTTCTGTGTGGAAATCCCCTCGGATACCACCCACCGGTGGTTATGTCGGACTCGAACCGACCATAAACCGCAAGCCGTCTCGGGTACCAGTGACCGGAGAACCAGATATACCCTAGGAGGGAAATCCTGATACCCCGACGTATCTCGGGCCATCTACGACGTGTAAATGACCCCCTCCTGTGTGGGAGCCCCTATGTCCCATTTATGCTACCGAAAGGGCGCGCGCGCTCCGCTGCGCGTCTCACCACCACCCTGCTTCTGCTAAGGTGACAGACGGCCTCACCTACCACCCCCGGCCTGCGCTTATGGAGGACGGAGGTCGTTCTGCGACCTCCGGCGCCTGAGTCGTCTGCGGTACCTGGCCCGTTGCCGGGCCTGGCGGGCCGGGAGAGTTCTAAACCTCTCCCGGTCCCGTTCCGCCATCTCCTTTGCAAACATAACTTGCTCGCAGGAGATGGTGGAGTTCCACGAACTCTCGCTCCGTACCATGGCGGCAATCACGTTACCGAGCGAGAGAATTTTCACTCCGATGGTCGTCACGAGGCAACGCCTGTACTCCACCCATGCCGGGCATTTTGCCTGCGTGTGAAGCACCGTGTCCACGATCTTGCCATCGCAGTAGTGGAACTCAAGCGTTGGCTCCGTGCGGATCAGACAAAGGTGATCTATGAAGCATCCTTTCCCGGTGATCACGTGCGTTAACCGGTATGAGAAGGTTCCGTGATGCCTCTATAACGGGTCTTACTTACCGCCGCGATAACGGCGTGCCCAAATACTAAGTGTACAATAGTAGGTGCAATTATAGATGTAAAACAACCGATTTAAAACGTTTTAAACAAAATGTTGCCGTTTTAACCCCAAATAAATCGTTTTAAACGGTTCAAAACTCACCTACAAAAATAAAAAAACTGTGTATTACACTTCATTGTGGCCAATTTTTGGTCAACTGACATCATGTTTCGTTTAATTAGTTCATCGAAAACCAACAAAAAGTACCTACCTACATTACCTACTACACCTATATATATATACCTATAGTATACCTATATACTTTATTTATTATTTTACACACACTAGATTATAAGACATCATTATCAGAAGAAGCGTGATCCAATCACCCACCCAAAATCGATCTAAGTGGCGTGCAATGGGAGAGGCCTATCCGAGTCCAGCAGTGGACTGCGATAGGCTGATGATGATGATCAACACAATGCTTGTTTGTTGACTGCGAAATGCGACTGTTTTAATTGCGCAAGAAAGAGGTGTCCAACGGTGTCAACGAGAGTGCGAGAGTTTGAGGACTTTGAGCTTGGTTTTAAACCGAATCAAATAGATTATTTAAATCGTTTCAAAACAATAAAAAAATGGTTATTTACTAACACTTAACAAACTTTAACTTATCAATAGAAGTTTTATAACTTCGTAGGTAATACCTACGCTTGGTCGGACGGACCAACTAGAACTAAACCCGCTAAGTAGGTATATCAATGGTGCTAATTCTGTTGTTCAAAAACTGTCTAAACTAAACTAAAAATCACTAAAAATTGGTTTAGTCCTGTCAAATAACGTTTGGTATTCTGAAAACGTAATACTTGATAGGACTAAAGTAATTTTTAGTGATTTTTAGTTTAGTTTAGAGAGTTTTCGAACAACAGAATTAGTACCAATATCAGTATATCACACATATAAAAAATCTTTACAGTTTACTCCGTCATATCCTTACCTCGGTAAAATCAAGAAAATGTAGTTATAATTAAGAAAAAGATAGTCTCAAAACCAACTGTTTAAATCGAAAAAAAATGGTTTTAAATCGATTGGTTAATTAGTTTTAAACCGGTCTTACATCTATAGGTGTTATACTAAATATTAGTAATGGGGATTAATGCTTATTATATTTAATTTCATTCATTGCGAATTCTTATGTCTTAGCATGTTAATTGTAATAAAAAGTTGTATACTTGTAGGTATATCACTAATAGTTAGTTTCGGATTTATCCTGTATTATTAATAATAAGTTTAATTACAGAATAGGTATAGATGATTAAAGTTTTGAAGTGGTTGACGTGTACGTACCTATTAATACATAGGTTCACGAAATTTCACGACTACTGATAATTTGATAACTGCTAATTAAGAATTCACAATTAAATATGAGTGTAGACTAATTATTCCATCACTACTAAATATCGGTGAAGCCGGATATGGCATTCAGAGTATGATCTACAACCTGAATACCTACCCACTGTATCCTTCTTTTTTCCGTGCGGAAATACCTTCGGATACCACCTGTCGGTGGCATGTCGGACTCGAACCGACTAAAACCGCACGCCGTCTCGGGTACTAATAGCCGGGGAACCAGGTATACCCTAGAAAGGAAGTCCCTGGTACTCACACTGTATCCCCTGTTTGAGGCATTCTGCGGACGCAGCAACAGCGCCGGCAACAAAGGTTCCATGGCAGTCACGAACTCGAACGAACACGAACAAATTTTTGTTCAGTGCGTTAATCCCTATGGACTTGTTAAATATCCCCAAACCGGACGGCCGGTTGGGTTATGTAGTTGATGAGTCCAACATTTTATATCATGTTGCAGCTGAATTTTGGTTTTGGATTTATCCTGTGTTATCGTGGGAACCACCTTTATTCCACCATCTTATACCTTGGTTTGTCTTGATTTGAATAAAATGAGGTAGGTTTCATTAATCTTTTATTTACTTAAACTACAAAATAAAAAACCATGATGTGGGCAGCCACTACAGGAAACTAGTATGTTGGCAAAATAATATTAACTTAGGAACAAAGGAAGATGTCGATGGCTAAACCCACACAATGACTTGTTTTCGTAATGCCTAGTTAATTGAATAATATTATATCACACATAGCAATAAATCTAACACTTAAAATTAAATATTTAAAGTGCCGTAGTATTAATAGACATAAACCAGGGCCTTAATGTTGTGTAACTATAAATACTAAAGAAATGAAACTTCCCCATAGCGTTTTTTTAACGCATTTTTCTTCAAAAGAGGAAATTGTTATTTATAATAACTCTTAATATAATACAAAAAAAAATATAACGCGGTAATTTCTAAATAACGTACATGCGTCATTCACATTCTACCTACACAAGTCGGCGTGACGTATTTCCACATTTGTCTGAAAAAATATCTTGTGCTGTTGCCAAATAAACATTTGGGACATCTTACAAACGCGTCACGGCTGATATTTACAGTGTGTTTAAACTAAATTGGCAATATTCAATTGTTGTATAACTAATAATATTGTGCAGTTATACTTAATAATAATATTTTCAATTATTCATTGAGATAGTGTACTCTCTGGTTAGGTGTAACTACTTTTAGTAGCAATTCTTTATTTTCGTAATACCCATTATTTAATTACTATATTACAATTTAAGCAAACACTACATGCACATTTTTTATGAGGTTTCAGATGCATATGCTTGTTACATATACAGGTTACTATCGTTTATAAACTGAAATAACGCATTTAGATTGCGTTGAGTAAAGCTTTAAATTGAGGAAATGTGTTGTTAAATGCGTCATTGACGTCCTTGATGCATTTAAGCTATCCAGTTTTATATTTGAGATCTCTAAAATAGTGACTTGGTATTTGAGTTAAATAGCAATATATTTATATATACGAAGTCCCGAGTTTGTACTATCCTGATATGAGTTTCGACATGGATCCATCCTTGCGACACAAAGACACACCTTAAACACTGTAATCTAGTTGTCTCTTTTTTTGACATTCTTATATTGAATAAAACATAGATCTCTCACAATTATTTATAATAGTTGTTTTTTGGTTGATTGGATTTAGTATTAAGATGTCAAACAGACAAACTAGTAAGGATAGTCACGTCGTTGGTATTAATACATATTAAATGTAACATCTTTTTAACACATGTAGTCTTTATAAAACCTCAGTTATATTAGACTCTTGAGCATATACTGAAAACATGTAAGATGCCACATATTCAAATGTATATGCTATTATATTCCAAATATTTGCAGTAGCAAGTGAATTAATATTGTCCTCTTTGAAAACCGAGGCCGACGCCGCGCATCGTGTGTGTGGTGGCTCGGGCGACTTCGTACTGAGCTTGCATTGCTTGAAATAAGTCCTCTTGCTTCTTTATAGGGTCGGCGGTCTTGTCTGGTGTTTCATTAACGGCAGCTGTGGGAAAATGGGCATCGTAACTTTTTATTTTCCTAACTCTTAGAACAGTATTTTGTTTGTTATCAGTATTTTTTCAATATTTAAATGGTATACCTTGTTTGGTTTATAAGCTTGAGTGATATTTCCATATTTCTCATAGTAATAATACTCATAATTTTACCATCATATTACATTAAAACTCAGAACGTTAGTTAACAATAATACACACAATAGAGTACAAGTATAGTAAAGAAACACTTTTTGACTGCAATTGAAAACTGTTTTTTTTTCTAAATGGGATATTTTCAGAAAATATGTTAACCAGTTAATATTATAAAGATATGAAAGCATTCCTATGGTCTCTTCAGAGAAACAATAGAATATAAATAGACAGATAAGTAAGACTAACCAGGTTCCTTTATGCCCATTAGCCTCATAAATTTGGTGACTTGCTTTCCATCTGTATCCTGGGCAAACCGTGTTCCACTCCACTTGGCTGCCTCTTCAGCTTCAGTCTTATTCTTATTTCCCCATAAAAGCTTCCGTTTCTGTACCTAAAAGATGCATGTAAATTGTATATAAATTTATAGGTGATACATGCCCTTAGCGACGTTCGGTTTGAATACATTTATTGTGAAACTCTGAAATGATCAAATAAACTTTAAAATGGTTATTTTTGATATATCTAGTTTCATTAGTCCAAGGCAGATGACTTCTTACACCATCTTAGATGTAAAAAATTATTTCATTATACCAGGATGTAGCACGATAGGCCAAGAAGGTAAGTAAGTCATGGTAGGTGCCATTTTCCTGAAAGTTGACACATACCTAACATTTAATAAGACAGGAAAAGTAATCATAGTAAAATATGTAGGAAAAACTGTACACTGTATAATTACTAATTAATTGACAGATATTCAAATATGTTTTAGTTACAAGAACACAAGGGTATCTGTTACCTGATTTAATATCTTAGAAGCATTGACTGCGCTGGGATTGTAATATGATGGCAGACCACCTGAAGTGGTTGAAGGTGCATCATGGGCCGCAGCACGCAGCTGTTGAGCTGTCGCCATGGAAGCATCTGGAGTCTTAATTTGTAAACCTAAACAAAAGAGAAATAGATATTACAGTAAAGAAAGAGAGATGAATTTTCTGGATCTGTAAAAAGGGAATGTATAGCGAGCGAGAGAATTTTCACTCCGATGGTCGTCACGAGGCAACGCCTGTACTCCACCCATGCCGGGCATTTTGCCTGCGTGTGAAGCACCGTGTCCACGATCTTGCCATCGCAGTAGTGGAACTCAAGCGTTGGCTCCGTGCGGATCAGACAAAGGTGATCTATGAAGCATCCTTTCCCGGTGATCACGTGCGTTAACCGGTATGAGAAGGTTCCGTGATGCCTCTATAACGGGTCTTACTTACCGCCGCGATAACGGCGTGCCCAAATACTAAGTGTACAATAGTAGGTGCAATTATAGATGTAAAACAACCGATTTAAAACGTTTTAAACAAAATGTTGCCGTTTTAACCCCAAATAAATCGTTTTAAAACGGTTCAAAACTCACCTACAAAAATAAAAAAACTGTGTATTACACTTCATTGTGGCCAATTTTTGGTCAACTGACATCATGTTTCGTTTAATTAGTTCATCGAAAACCAACAAAAAGTACCTACCTACATTACCTACTACACCTATATATATATACCTATAGTATACCTATATACTTTATTTATTATTTTACACACACTAGATTATAAGACATCATTATCAGAAGAAGCGTGATCCAATCACCCACCCAAAATCGATCTAAGTGGCGTGCAATGGGAGAGGCCTATCCGAGTCCAGCAGTGGACTGCGATAGGCTGATGATGATGATCAACACAATGCTTGTTTGTTGACTGCGAAATGCGACTGTTTTAATTGCGCAAGAAAGAGGTGTCCAACGGTGTCAACGAGAGTGCGAGAGTTTGAGGACTTTGAGCTTGGTTTTAAACCGAATCAAATAGATTATTTAAATCGTTTCAAAACAATAAAAAAATGGTTATTTACTAACACTTAACAAACTTTAACTTATCAATAGAAGTTTTATAACTTCGTAGGTAATACCTACGCTTGGTCGGACGGACCAACTAGAACTAAACCCGCTAAGTAGGTATATCAATGGTGCTAATTCTGTTGTTCAAAAACTGTCTAAACTAAACTAAAAATCACTAAAAATTGGTTTAGTCCTGTCAAATAACGTTTGGTATTCTGAAAACGTAATACTTGATAGGACTAAAGTAATTTTTAGTGATTTTTAGTTTAGTTTAGAGAGTTTTCGAACAACAGAATTAGTACCAATATCAGTATATCACACATATAAAAAATCTTTACAGTTTACTCCGTCATATCCTTACCTCGGTAAAATCAAGAAAATGTAGTTATAATTAAGAAAAAGATAGTCTCAAAACCAACTGTTTAAATCGAAAAAAAATGGTTTTAAATCGATTGGTTAATTAGTTTTAAACCGGTCTTACATCTATAGGTGTTATACTAAATATTAGTAATGGGGATTAATGCTTATTATATTTAATTTCATTCATTGCGAATTCTTATGTCTTAGCATGTTAATTGTAATAAAAAGTTGTATACTTGTAGGTATATCACTAATAGTTAGTTTCGGATTTATCCTGTATTATTAATAATAAGTTTAATTACAGAATAGGTATAGATGATTAAAGTTTTGAAGTGGTTGACGTGTACGTACCTATTAATACATAGGTTCACGAAATTTCACGACTACTGATAATTTGATAACTGCTAATTAAGAATTCACAATTAAATATGAGTGTAGACTAATTATTCCATCACTACTAAATATCGGTGAAGCCGGATATGGCATTCAGAGTATGATCTACAACCTGAATACCTACCCACTGTATCCTTCTTTTTTCCGTGCGGAAATACCTTCGGATACCACCTGTCGGTGGCATGTCGGACTCGAACCGACTAAAACCGCACGCCGTCTCGGGTACTAATAGCCGGGGAACCAGGTATACCCTAGAAAGGAAGTCCCTGGTACTCACACTGTATCCCCTGTTTGAGGCATTCTGCGGACGCAGCAACAGCGCCGGCAACAAAGGTTCCATGGCAGTCACGAACTCGAACGAACACGAACAAATTTTTGTTCAGTGCGTTAATCCCTATGGACTTGTTAAATATCCCCAAACCGGACGGCCGGTTGGGTTATGTAGTTGATGAGTCCAACATTTTATATCATGTTGCAGCTGAATTTTGGTTTTGGATTTATCCTGTGTTATCGTGGGAACCACCTTTATTCCACCATCTTATACCTTGGTTTGTCTTGATTTGAATAAAATGAGGTAGGTTTCATTAATCTTTTATTTACTTAAACTACAAAATAAAAAACCATGATGTGGGCAGCCACTACAGGAAACTAGTATGTTGGCAAAATAATATTAACTTAGGAACAAAGGAAGATGTCGATGGCTAAACCCACACAATGACTTGTTTTCGTAATGCCTAGTTAATTGAATAATATTATATCACACATAGCAATAAATCTAACACTTAAAATTAAATATTTAAAGTGCCGTAGTATTAATAGACATAAACCAGGGCCTTAATGTTGTGTAACTATAAATACTAAAGAAATGAAACTTCCCCATAGCGTTTTTTTAACGCATTTTTCTTCAAAAGAGGAAATTGTTATTTATAATAACTCTTAATATAATACAAAAAAAAATATAACGCGGTAATTTCTAAATAACGTACATGCGTCATTCACATTCTACCTACACAAGTCGGCGTGACGTATTTCCACATTTGTCTGAAAAAATATCTTGTGCTGTTGCCAAATAAACATTTGGGACATCTTACAAACGCGTCACGGCTGATATTTACAGTGTGTTTAAACTAAATTGGCAATATTCAATTGTTGTATAACTAATAATATTGTGCAGTTATACTTAATAATAATATTTTCAATTATTCATTGAGATAGTGTACTCTCTGGTTAGGTGTAACTACTTTTAGTAGCAATTCTTTATTTTCGTAATACCCATTATTTAATTACTATATTACAATTTAAGCAAACACTACATGCACATTTTTTATGAGGTTTCAGATGCATATGCTTGTTACATATACAGGTTACTATCGTTTATAAACTGAAATAACGCATTTAGATTGCGTTGAGTAAAGCTTTAAATTGAGGAAATGTGTTGTTAAATGCGTCATTGACGTCCTTGATGCATTTAAGCTATCCAGTTTTATATTTGAGATCTCTAAAATAGTGACTTGGTATTTGAGTTAAATAGCAATATATTTATATATACAAAGTCCCGAGTTTGTACTATCCTGATATGAGTTTCGACATGGATCCATCCTTGCGACACAAAGACACACCTTAAACACTGTAATCTAGTTGTCTCTTTTTTTGACATTCTTATATTGAATAAAACATAGATCTCTCACAATTATTTATAATAGTTGTTTTTTGGTTGATTGGATTTAGTATTAAGATGTCAAACAGACAAACTAGTAAGGATAGTCACGTCGTTGGTATTAATACATATTAAATGTAACATCTTTTTAACACATGTAGTCTTTATAAAACCTCAGTTATATTAGACTCTTGAGCATATACTGAAAACATGTAAGATGCCACATATTCAAATGTATATGCTATTATATTCCAAATATTTGCAGTAGCAAGTGAATTAATATTGTCCTCTTTGAAAACCGAGGCCGACGCCGCGCATCGTGTGTGTGGTGGCTCGGGCGACTTCGTACTGAGCTTGCATTGCTTGAAATAAGTCCTCTTGCTTCTTTATAGGGTCGGCGGTCTTGTCTGGTGTTTCATTAACGGCAGCTGTGGGAAAATGGGCATCGTAACTTTTTATTTTCCTAACTCTTAGAACAGTATTTTGTTTGTTATCAGTATTTTTTCAATATTTAAATGGTATACCTTGTTTGGTTTATAAGCTTGAGTGATATTTCCATATTTCTCATAGTAATAATACTCATAATTTTACCATCATATTACATTAAAACTCAGAACGTTAGTTAACAATAATACACACAATAGAGTACAAGTATAGTAAAGAAACACTTTTTGACTGCAATTGAAAACTGTTTTTTTTTCTAAATGGGATATTTTCAGAAAATATGTTAACCAGTTAATATTATAAAGATATGAAAGCATTCCTATGGTCTCTTCAGAGAAACAATAGAATATAAATAGACAGATAAGTAAGACTAACCAGGTTCCTTTATGCCCATTAGCCTCATAAATTTGGTGACTTGCTTTCCATCTGTATCCTGGGCAAACCGTGTTCCACTCCACTTGGCTGCCTCTTCAGCTTCAGTCTTATTCTTATTTCCCCATAAAAGCTTCCGTTTCTGTACCTAAAAGATGCATGTAAATTGTATATAAATTTATAGGTGATACATGCCCTTAGCGACGTTCGGTTTGAATACATTTATTGTGAAACTCTGAAATGATCAAATAAACTTTAAAATGGTTATTTTTGATATATCTAGTTTCATTAGTCCAAGGCAGATGACTTCTTACACCATCTTAGATGTAAAAAATTATTTCATTATACCAGGATGTAGCACGATAGGCCAAGAAGGTAAGTAAGTCATGGTAGGTGCCATTTTCCTGAAAGTTGACACATACCTAACATTTAATAAGACAGGAAAAGTAATCATAGTAAAATATGTAGGAAAAACTGTACACTGTATAATTACTAATTAATTGACAGATATTCAAATATGTTTTAGTTACAAGAACACAAGGGTATCTGTTACCTGATTTAATATCTTAGAAGCATTGACTGCGCTGGGATTGTAATATGATGGCAGACCACCTGAAGTGGTTGAAGGTGCATCATGGGCCGCAGCACGCAGCTGTTGAGCTGTCGCCATGGAAGCATCTGGAGTCTTAATTTGTAAACCTAAACAAAAGAGAAATAGATATTACAGTAAAGAAAGAGAGATGAATTTTCTGGATCTGTAAAAAGGGAATGTATAGCGAGCGAGAGAATTTTCACTCCGATGGTCGTCACGAGGCAACGCCTGTACTCCACCCATGCCGGGCATTTTGCCTGCGTGTGAAGCACCGTGTCCACGATCTTGCCATCGCAGTAGTGGAACTCAAGCGTTGGCTCCGTGCGGATCAGACAAAGGTGATCTATGAAGCATCCTTTCCCGGTGATCACGTGCGTTAACCGGTATGAGAAGGTTCCGTGATGCCTCTATAACGGGTCTTACTTACCGCCGCGATAACGGCGTGCCCAAATACTAAGTGTACAATAGTAGGTGCAATTATAGATGTAAAACAACCGATTTAAAACGTTTTAAACAAAATGTTGCCGTTTTAACCCCAAATAAATCGTTTTAAACGGTTCAAAACTCACCTACAAAAATAAAAAAACTGTGTATTACACTTCATTGTGGCCAATTTTTGGTCAACTGACATCATGTTTCGTTTAATTAGTTCATCGAAAACCAACAAAAAGTACCTACCTACATTACCTACTACACCTATATATATATACCTATAGTATACCTATATACTTTATTTATTATTTTACACACACTAGATTATAAGACATCATTATCAGAAGAAGCGTGATCCAATCACCCACCCAAAATCGATCTAAGTGGCGTGCAATGGGAGAGGCCTATCCGAGTCCAGCAGTGGACTGCGATAGGCTGATGATGATGATCAACACAATGCTTGTTTGTTGACTGCGAAATGCGACTGTTTTAATTGCGCAAGAAAGAGGTGTCCAACGGTGTCAACGAGAGTGCGAGAGTTTGAGGACTTTGAGCTTGGTTTTAAACCGAATCAAATAGATTATTTAAATCGTTTCAAAACAATAAAAAAATGGTTATTTACTAACACTTAACAAACTTTAACTTATCAATAGAAGTTTTATAACTTCGTAGGTAATACCTACGCTTGGTCGGACGGACCAACTAGAACTAAACCCGCTAAGTAGGTATATCAATGGTGCTAATTCTGTTGTTCAAAAACTGTCTAAACTAAACTAAAAATCACTAAAAATTGGTTTAGTCCTGTCAAATAACGTTTGGTATTCTGAAAACGTAATACTTGATAGGACTAAAGTAATTTTTAGTGATTTTTAGTTTAGTTTAGAGAGTTTTCGAACAACAGAATTAGTACCAATATCAGTATATCACACATATAAAAAATCTTTACAGTTTACTCCGTCATATCCTTACCTCGGTAAAATCAAGAAAATGTAGTTATAATTAAGAAAAAGATAGTCTCAAAACCAACTGTTTAAATCGAAAAAAAATGGTTTTAAATCGATTGGTTAATTAGTTTTAAACCGGTCTTACATCTATAGGTGTTATACTAAATATTAGTAATGGGGATTAATGCTTATTATATTTAATTTCATTCATTGCGAATTCTTATGTCTTAGCATGTTAATTGTAATAAAAAGTTGTATACTTGTAGGTATATCACTAATAGTTAGTTTCGGATTTATCCTGTATTATTAATAATAAGTTTAATTACAGAATAGGTATAGATGATTAAAGTTTTGAAGTGGTTGACGTGTACGTACCTATTAATACATAGGTTCACGAAATTTCACGACTACTGATAATTTGATAACTGCTAATTAAGAATTCACAATTAAATATGAGTGTAGACTAATTATTCCATCACTACTAAATATCGGTGAAGCCGGATATGGCATTCAGAGTATGATCTACAACCTGAATACCTACCCACTGTATCCTTCTTTTTTCCGTGCGGAAATACCTTCGGATACCACCTGTCGGTGGCATGTCGGACTCGAACCGACTAAAACCGCACGCCGTCTCGGGTACTAATAGCCGGGGAACCAGGTATACCCTAGAAAGGAAGTCCCTGGTACTCACACTGTATCCCCTGTTTGAGGCATTCTGCGGACGCAGCAACAGCGCCGGCAACAAAGGTTCCATGGCAGTCACGAACTCGAACGAACACGAACAAATTTTTGTTCAGTGCGTTAATCCCTATGGACTTGTTAAATATCCCCAAACCGGACGGCCGGTTGGGTTATGTAGTTGATGAGTCCAACATTTTATATCATGTTGCAGCTGAATTTTGGTTTTGGATTTATCCTGTGTTATCGTGGGAACCACCTTTATTCCACCATCTTATACCTTGGTTTGTCTTGATTTGAATAAAATGAGGTAGGTTTCATTAATCTTTTATTTACTTAAACTACAAAATAAAAAACCATGATGTGGGCAGCCACTACAGGAAACTAGTATGTTGGCAAAATAATATTAACTTAGGAACAAAGGAAGATGTCGATGGCTAAACCCACACAATGACTTGTTTTCGTAATGCCTAGTTAATTGAATAATATTATATCACACATAGCAATAAATCTAACACTTAAAATTAAATATTTAAAGTGCCGTAGTATTAATAGACATAAACCAGGGCCTTAATGTTGTGTAACTATAAATACTAAAGAAATGAAACTTCCCCATAGCGTTTTTTTAACGCATTTTTCTTCAAAAGAGGAAATTGTTATTTATAATAACTCTTAATATAATACAAAAAAAAATATAACGCGGTAATTTCTAAATAACGTACATGCGTCATTCACATTCTACCTACACAAGTCGGCGTGACGTATTTCCACATTTGTCTGAAAAAATATCTTGTGCTGTTGCCAAATAAACATTTGGGACATCTTACAAACGCGTCACGGCTGATATTTACAGTGTGTTTAAACTAAATTGGCAATATTCAATTGTTGTATAACTAATAATATTGTGCAGTTATACTTAATAATAATATTTTCAATTATTCATTGAGATAGTGTACTCTCTGGTTAGGTGTAACTACTTTTAGTAGCAATTCTTTATTTTCGTAATACCCATTATTTAATTACTATATTACAATTTAAGCAAACACTACATGCACATTTTTTATGAGGTTTCAGATGCATATGCTTGTTACATATACAGGTTACTATCGTTTATAAACTGAAATAACGCATTTAGATTGCGTTGAGTAAAGCTTTAAATTGAGGAAATGTGTTGTTAAATGCGTCATTGACGTCCTTGATGCATTTAAGCTATCCAGTTTTATATTTGAGATCTCTAAAATAGTGACTTGGTATTTGAGTTAAATAGCAATATATTTATATATACAAAGTCCCGAGTTTGTACTATCCTGATATGAGTTTCGACATGGATCCATCCTTGCGACACAAAGACACACCTTAAACACTGTAATCTAGTTGTCTCTTTTTTTGACATTCTTATATTGAATAAAACATAGATCTCTCACAATTATTTATAATAGTTGTTTTTTGGTTGATTGGATTTAGTATTAAGATGTCAAACAGACAAACTAGTAAGGATAGTCACGTCGTTGGTATTAATACATATTAAATGTAACATCTTTTTAACACATGTAGTCTTTATAAAACCTCAGTTATATTAGACTCTTGAGCATATACTGAAAACATGTAAGATGCCACATATTCAAATGTATATGCTATTATATTCCAAATATTTGCAGTAGCAAGTGAATTAATATTGTCCTCTTTGAAAACCGAGGCCGACGCCGCGCATCGTGTGTGTGGTGGCTCGGGCGACTTCGTACTGAGCTTGCATTGCTTGAAATAAGTCCTCTTGCTTCTTTATAGGGTCGGCGGTCTTGTCTGGTGTTTCATTAACGGCAGCTGTGGGAAAATGGGCATCGTAACTTTTTATTTTCCTAACTCTTAGAACAGTATTTTGTTTGTTATCAGTATTTTTTCAATATTTAAATGGTATACCTTGTTTGGTTTATAAGCTTGAGTGATATTTCCATATTTCTCATAGTAATAATACTCATAATTTTACCATCATATTACATTAAAACTCAGAACGTTAGTTAACAATAATACACACAATAGAGTACAAGTATAGTAAAGAAACACTTTTTGACTGCAATTGAAAACTGTTTTTTTTTCTAAATGGGATATTTTCAGAAAATATGTTAACCAGTTAATATTATAAAGATATGAAAGCATTCCTATGGTCTCTTCAGAGAAACAATAGAATATAAATAGACAGATAAGTAAGACTAACCAGGTTCCTTTATGCCCATTAGCCTCATAAATTTGGTGACTTGCTTTCCATCTGTATCCTGGGCAAACCGTGTTCCACTCCACTTGGCTGCCTCTTCAGCTTCAGTCTTATTCTTATTTCCCCATAAAAGCTTCCGTTTCTGTACCTAAAAGATGCATGTAAATTGTATATAAATTTATAGGTGATACATGCCCTTAGCGACGTTCGGTTTGAATACATTTATTGTGAAACTCTGAAATGATCAAATAAACTTTAAAATGGTTATTTTTGATATATCTAGTTTCATTAGTCCAAGGCAGATGACTTCTTACACCATCTTAGATGTAAAAAATTATTTCATTATACCAGGATGTAGCACGATAGGCCAAGAAGGTAAGTAAGTCATGGTAGGTGCCATTTTCCTGAAAGTTGACACATACCTAACATTTAATAAGACAGGAAAAGTAATCATAGTAAAATATGTAGGAAAAACTGTACACTGTATAATTACTAATTAATTGACAGATATTCAAATATGTTTTAGTTACAAGAACACAAGGGTATCTGTTACCTGATTTAATATCTTAGAAGCATTGACTGCGCTGGGATTGTAATATGATGGCAGACCACCTGAAGTGGTTGAAGGTGCATCATGGGCCGCAGCACGCAGCTGTTGAGCTGTCGCCATGGAACCATCTGGAGTCTTAATTTGTAAACCTAAACAAAAGAGAAATAGATATTACAGTAAAGAAAGAGAGATGAATTTTCTGGATCTGTAAAAAGGGAATGTATACAGTTCACAGTTGTGGATATACCATCTGTATCATTGTTCCGACCGTATTTTCATTCAATTGTTTGTAAATAAACAGGGCAAATTGTTAAAAATACATACCCATCTTTTCCATTACTTCCAGTTTCTTATTGACCTTGTAGGACGAAGGCCTGTAGTCTCCGGACGGTGAGCGTCGTTCACTAGAGCCGGACGAGTGACTAGAAGAGTGAGGTGCACCACGGGATCGGGATCTGGATCTATCACGGCGATCATGTCTGTGACTAGAAGACCTGCAAGAAGTAAAAATGTTAACTTTGATGTACACTCATGTGCAACTTCATTGTAAAGTTGTTTATAAATGGCGCAAATCGTTTAAATAATCTCCCATTTTTACACTATCTACTTAACTTAGTTTCTTTTATCGAAGCAATGAAGTTATTATACTTCTAGCTTTAAACCATCACCTGACACACTACATATTTGTGCGTGTTAATTTAAAAAAAAACATGTTTTGTTTAATAAAGTTAATAATTTTTTCGTTTGTTTTTTTAATAAGATAGTTCACGCACTAGAAATATTCTGTCCTGTGTCACATGGGACTTAACAACCATTCATGAAATGGATACTAAGAAGACCCAGACTCAGAAGAACAATTTGTGGATCACGCAGTGTTGGCCCATGTAGGGCTCGAACCCACATGAATAGTAGTGCGCAGTAGGAACCGACGAGGTGACTGCTTAAACCACTACGCCATCCGTGCAGTTATAGGTTGTTTGTGAGTATGAAACTTAATGGTGGTGACACCCTGAAAAGCAAAAAAGCTAAAAAGTGAAAAGCATGTAAGAACCTTACCTCTTTTCCTCTGAGCGTCTACCGTGGCGATCTCTATCGCGTTCCCGTTCACGGTCCCTGTCTCTATCGCGGCGATCACGATCCACAAACCTGCAGTGCAAAGTAATCAAGTCAATTAATATAATCGGAACTAAAAGTCTTTGTCTTTTTTACCAGCTTTTATTTTACTTGCAATATTTGTATGCACGAATTTAGGCAGCTAAATTAGAACCACTTCCCGATGTTCAATTGGGCTCAAACTGTATGATGTATTTTCACTTACAATACAATAATAATCTTACCATGGAGCTGCTCTGACGATTGAGCCAAATATGGCCATAGGAACTTCTTAACAAGATAAAAACATCAAGTTTTACTGATTTGTTTCGTCAACTTTGGAGCTATATATGACAGCCAGTCTATAAAAGCTTGTTTAAATTTTTTTTTTTTTTTTTCGATATTTAGTACTAGAAGGCATGCACATATTACATTGTTTATATAAATAGCGTTTGCAAGCCCAAAGATAGATGCGTCGCACGGTGGGTTGAAAATCGTCTTTCATAGTCTTAAATTGAAATCAATTTGCAAGTGCCATATTTTCCCAGATATTGCTTTTAGTGTCTAAGTTAAGAACATCGATATGAAGAATGTTATTGACCTAAATATTAAGAATATATAAATAAAGAAAGAAAAAAGCTGTTTATTCTTATTATTCATAATTTGAATATAACAGAGGTTATTATTAGCGAGGCTTTTATTTAAATACTATAAATAAAATTCTACAAAATATTTAAGAGAATAATTAATGGATTTTACACGTATTGGTATAAAAACTAACATAAATAACAAAAAGAAACATGAAACTATATGAATTATAACAAATTTTCCTAATAATATGTATGTTTTCTATGTATAATATGTATGTATTTACGAAAAGAAGTATATAGGTATTCTATTAGTCAATCTAGCCTTCATAGTACAAGCTCTGCTTAGTTTGAAACTAGATGACGTTGTGGGTCAGATGTCCAAAATATTATTATTATTCTTTTTATTTATTTTATAAACATATTCTTTACATTTATTATTATTATATCTTTTGTTGTCTGACTCCAATTCTGAGTTCGAATCCAAATAAGCGTTGAAAAAATTCAGGTATATTCCCGTTTCTTTCCAAATCCGTTTTTTTTAAATGTTTCATTCGAAAGTTTGAAGAAAATTTGCCAGCATTGCATGTATTTTTTAAAAACGGAATTAAACGAGATACATTTCATGTTTTTTTTCAAATACGTACTTAGTATATTTTACTTAGATATCCATCTATGACTAGCCGAGGCCCCGGCCCCTGTTGTACCTACATCTAGTTGTCAGTTGCATAAATAGTTTTATCAATTTACGTTTTAGTTCCGTTGCAGTTTGTTCTGATAAAGGATTGACTTCGGAAGTACCGGCATCATTTCGAAAAATCAAGAAACAAATGAGAAATGATGTGTTTCAGAATGACTGTTCTGTTTTGAAATTGCTCTCAAAAGAAAGATGCCAATTTAAACTATATTGAAGAACACAGATTATTTTGTATTCAGCCCATTCATTTGACCGCGTATTTGCTAGATCCTATGTTAGACAATTCCATAAGCCCACAGTACGAACCCTTAAATAACAAAAACTTTTTCCAAGTGTCCTAGTATACAGTACGATTCTTAATAAGTGCACAAATGAAAATGAGTGTTAAAATAAAATGTTAAAACTATTTTTTTTTTATTATTAATGTATTGTCATCGGTTCTCATTATATCTACAAAGTTTGAACGAATTCTGACCGTTTAAAGTCAGTCAAAATCACGCCCAAAGATGTCGGTTACAAAGAAACATACAAGTGAAGCTAATATATAAGCGTGTAAAAAGCTCTGCATTCTCCGTGGTATCCAACTTAGGCTTTTGTGCAGTTAGGAAAGGATCCGAAGAAACAAAAATTATATTTAGGATAATATCTTGATATGAATCTTGTCCGCTTCTTTTCCGCGAATGATGTTCCCGGAACCTCGTAAAATCTTTGTTTCGAGACTTTAAGGCTTCCTCCGAGAAGAGCCTCCACGGCGGCGAAGCCAGCGTGTGGAGTCTCGCGCCGGAACGACCAACGAGCCATCGTGGCTCGGCGAGCGGCTTCGCGCCACTCGCGCACATCCTCGGGCGGAGGGCGAAATCCGCTCTCCGCCCGGTAGTCAGCCACTCGCCGATAGACTTCGGCGAGCACTTCCGCCTCCAAATCCCACGGGGGAGTTCCGGCCAACGCGCACGCCACCTCCGTCGACACGGTGCGGTAACCGCGTATGGCTCTGACCGCCATTACCCTCTGAGGGCGCCAGAGGCGTGCCCTATTCTGGGCGGTCAGAGCCGCCGCCCACACCGGTGCACCGTATAGTGCCATTGACCGGACAACCCCCGTGTACAGCCGTCTTGTCGCGACGCTGGGTCCACCCAAATTGGGCAAAAGTCGCCCTAGGGCAGACGCAGCGCCGACCAGCTTTGGAGCAAGCTGTCGGAAGTGCTCGTCGAAGAGCCACCTCCCGTCGAGGATCAGGCCCAGATATTTCATCTGGGCCCGAACCGGTACGAGGACCGAGTTGACCACGATTGAGGCGCCAGGGGGTGGACCACGACGGGGCCCATGAAATAACAGGGCCTCCGTCTTATCTAGGGCCACCCGTAAGCCCAGCGCCTCAATGCGCCCGACCACCAGGGAGACTCCCCTTGTGGCCAGGCGCGCCGCCTCTTTGAAGTTTGCCCCCCGGGCTGTCACCAGGGTATCGTCTGCGTAACAGATTACACCCAGCCCAGGGGGGAAATCGGCGCGAAGGGCCCAGTCGTACCCTATGTTCCACAAGAGGGGTCCAAGACCCCTGTGGAACACCAGCACTCGGGCCGGTACCCCGTCTGGCCCAGGGTCGGTGTTCTTGGAACGGATCCGTAGAACAGCCGCCCCTACCTCCGAATCCCGGAGGGGCGGAACATCATCCTCCCCGTGCTCCCCGCCGTCTCCGGCCAACGAGGCCATCGCCGGGGGAGTGTGTTCCGCTCGTTGCGGGAAAAGGCCCTCAACCACTTCTCGCAGGAAGCTGGGCTGGAGAGTCTCCGTAAGAGGGGGGCCCGACGCGCGGAGCTTTTGTCGCACCGCGCGATAAGGGCGACCCCAGGGGTCACGATCGAGACCCTCCAGCATCTCCTTTCTCTTTATCTCTTTGGCGCGGCTAATGGCCAGCTTCAGAGTTTTCCGCGCCTCTCGGTACTCCTCATGAAGCCGGTTCTCCTCACCGTCTCCACGGTGACGCCGCCGACTGCGCGTGTAGGACCTCCGGCCACGTGTACAGGCCGCACGGAGGTCCGCCAGCTCCTGGGACCACCAGTAGATCCTTCCTTGGAGGCCGACGACCTCGAATGCGGGGCATGTCCGCATCGCAGACATGCGTAATCGCATCGCGAAAGCGACCAGCCCCCACGTCGACCTCCTCGGTCGGGGCCTGAGGAGACAGCCACGAGTGAATTATGGTTGCCTCCTCTAGTAGGTCCCGGTTCAGTCTGGCAACAGCCCACCGCGGCAAGCGTGATAAACGCCGCGCCACGTGACCCCTACTGGAGTCCTGGGTCCGGGAGAGCTCAAATCGGATATAAAGATGATCCGAGAGCGTCTCAACCTCTTCCAGGACACGCCAGTTCCTTACTCGTGCGGCGAGGGCAGGGGTAGCGAACGAATCTGGTGCCGACCTAGCTTGACCATAGTCGTGCTATAGGTCGTTATTAGCGTTTTAAAATCTACGTATCTTTTTTAATGGATGTTCCAAATCGAATTTACGTTTATGGGTCCTTTTTTTCCATGTACTTCAAAACTCTGCTTGAAGGACTTCTATTTAACATTGTTTTTTTGCTCAGCTGAAATGGCGGAATCCTGATAAAAGATACGACTGCTGCTGCACATCTTCCTTTTTACCCGCGTCTGAGAGCAAAATTAATTATTTTCCCACCCACAAATTTAGCTATAACCATTGAGTTAAAACAACACTAGAGAAGCAAACCTCATTATCACACGTCGAAAAAAGTGTAACCACTTTTGAACTTTGACGACGTAGCTTTGATACCACTAAACATTTGAAAGTAAACATATTTATGTCTCATTTACACGCGAGACAAGAACAATACCATCGCTCGGATTAGACAAAGACAAAGATATAACTTTACGATGGTGGGCCAGTGTTGACTACCGTATGAAATTTTACCCATAACAACTAAGAAACAATTTTTTTTTTAAAACAATTTTGTAATAAAATAAATTAATTTAAATATTCTAAATAATATATTTCGAATTGAATAGAATAGGTATAAATAATAAAATAACTGGAAATATTTGGTTAAAAGGGTTTATATTCAGTGTAAAATCAAACTGCGCTGTGAAGCATCAGTTTTGTATACAATTGTCTTTTAGACTCTTTTTTATAAGTTTGTGTGGATATTTTACTTTCATGATACAATCTTATTTTTACGTATGTAAAAATAATAGCATTTAATAATAAAAGTGAATGATCAACTTGTACTGATAATAAATAATCCCCAGGGTGTATTGCAAATTCTATTATATTTTAAAAAACAAATAAAAAAAAAAAAAAAAATTTTATTTTATAAAAAAAATTATTTATGTTTATTTACTTTTTTATTTATAAAGTAAAGTAGTCAGTAGTAAAGTAGTAAGTAAAGTAGTAGTATAAGTAGTTCGTGTAGTGACGGATTAAGAATACGCAATGTCACTACCCCAATTCATCCCGTGGGTGTCGTAAGAGCCGACTAAGGGTGCAAAACAACGCAGGACACCAGCTCTGCAAAAAGAAGGAAAACTTGACACAAACCCTATACCAACCCGTCTGGCCAGCGTGGTATAGTAGGCCAAAACCTCCTTTATAAGGAGAGGCCTATGTTCAGCAGTGGACTATTAAAGGCTGTTGATGTGATGTGATGTGACTTTTTTATTTTATATTTTTATTTTTATGATAAACATTTATTATTATTATTATTATTATTATTATTTTGTACAATTATTTTTTTAAAATTGATAATAAATTAAGAAAAACAATGAATTAATTTTTTTGTACAAAAGTCTCCAGCACTGCGAGCTTGGCACTCACAAGCTCGCAGTGAACGTTCAACGGGTCCCTAAAAAAAGGGATCGGTCCAGCCCTAACAACTACCGTTCTTCCTATATTATTATTGGCAAAATGTTTAAAAACAGTATAAAGCATATTATTTCATAAATTATAAATTCTCCCACTAATGTGGGAAAACCAAAATGATTTTTTAATGGTAACACTGATTCTAAATTACAATTATCAGTGTTTTATTTCAATTATAGCCTTATTTACAATATTATCAATACAAAAACCATAAACTTACACGTGAAAAGTAATTCCGCATGATTTATTAATGTTTTGTGACCTTGAATCGCATTCTTTCACTACGCATTTAGCCATTTTGGCGATTGTTACTGTCATGTGTCGCTATGTTCAACTCGGTTGACGCCACATTGAATAATGAATTGACGTTTGCTACGCATATGCCTGTGGACATATGTGCAGTAGCAACGATTTTAGGCGGTAATTACTCATCTATGTAAGTATTATATCAATGGCTATAACATTATTAAATCTTTCGACCGTGTGGGTATCAACATTTTCAATCAAACTTCTTGATTTCCCAGCCACAGTTGCAACAATGGCATTCAGTATTAATAAAAATGTACTATTCCGTATTTGCCTAATGTCACCTTTTACTCCATCATGCTCACAGTTGTAATTATGGCACATTCTATGATCTCCGTAAGCGTGTTCAACTGAATATGTTATATCTTTATGAAGTACCGAGACTGCATCGTTTTTCGGAACAGACTGGTGGTGATATTTTTTCGACCGAATAAATAATTTTCTCATAGCCCTTATTTATTGGTTCGTTAAAGTTTTTCTATGCAACTAGAAAAATTTCGTCTCTTTGACAAGTATAATATATATATAATAGTAAGTATAGTATATAATAGCAAGTATAGTATAATTTAGTAAAATATGATTGGGAAATTCTTTTTTTTCAACAGTCAAATTCAGTGTTTTTCCTTGTGTCCTTTAAAATTTTAGTATATGTGGAACAGTCACCATCTGCTATAAGTCTTTGGTATATTACTCCGTACATAGAAATAGATGTTTTAAAACCCTCCGCAATTATATCTGCTTCCATAGAGGTAGATGACCATCAAAGTTTTTGTAGCATTTATGTTCTGGAGGCGTTATGTTATTTTTACTAGCCCGGCTACAAACCAAACAGTAAACAGTAGTAAACTTTGTGAAAATGAATTTTACGTATTTGCGCGGGGGAAATTTCACGGAGCAAAATGACGTGCGTCCGACCTCAAACAAGGCTCAGCGAGCTCTGACAGGCGAACTTCGCCGCCGTAAGCAAGCGTAAAAACATATTTTTTGGTTCTTTTTTTTATAAGTACAATTATGTCAAAATGTATCCTTACAAATCCCTAAAAAAAATAAGCTCTATTTTTTGGTATAATTTTTACGTGAATCCATGGTGGCATTTTACAACAATTTCTATTTGAAATCGTGAGTTAGTGCTATGTTTGTGTTTTTTTTTTATTGAGCCAAATTCCATAAATCATGTTTCCATCCTTACGGATCTTTAGATTATATGTTTAATTTTTATAAAACATTTATTTTCATGCACGATAAATGCATATTAGGGTATTTATTTCTCTTCAAAAAAGTGCAAAACCGCTGCAACCTCGCCTTAAGAGATAATTAGATTTTTCATAATAGCTTCATACAAATTTTTCGTAAAAAAAATCTAATGCCTTCGTCTTTGTGCAGAATTAACACTGGTGTCATTTTTGTATAGAAGCGATATCCGGTAAAAAAAATGGCACTTACAAATTGAAATCCCTAAGTCTATAAAAGACGATTTTCAGCCCACCGTGCACCCAGCACATTATAAGGAAGTAAGTGATAGCCAGAAGTATATGACAGTAGCACAGCCCATTACATAAATTTCATAAATATAGTAAGTATACCTAGGCGATACAGCATCCCGAGCATCTTGTGACCTCTTGTCTGAAGCCGTCGGTAAATCTCCAGCAAATGGTTTGAGGTCCATGAGTGCTGGCACTTTATCATCAGGCCGATCGCCCAACAACCCGCGACGGGGCTCCGGCCTACTTCCAGTGCGATCACGATCCGATCTACGAAAGAGGATATTTTGGCGTATGTACTTTTTTTTTTTTTTTCTTTTTTTTTTTATAAAGACAACTCCCGCATTAGGAAAATATCCTGTGTCGCGGGGGACTTTACAAACATACATGAAACGGACACAAATAACACCCAGACTTGGAACAACAATTTGTGGATCACACAAAGTGTCGTCCCATGTGGGGTTTGAACCCACAACACTCGGCGTAGTAGGAAGCAGCGTGGCGACCGCTTAAACCACTACGCCATCCGTGCAGTCGTACGTATGTTTTATAATCTTTATGGTCTTATAATGATGAAATATGCCACTACACTTCTATTGTGTTATTTTTATTGTATGTTCTATGTGTTAATACATTAACCGTTTTAAAACAGTAATAACATGTAAGATACGCCAAATCGGTTTCTATAGCAAGAATACCTTTTGTTTTTGTACATACATAACTTATGTATAAGTACAAAGTTCCCGACAAATCTGTCGTTCTGTCTGTTTGTGATATATACTCAAAAACTACTGAACGGATCCGTTTAAATATGAAAATAATTGTTGAAAATGTGGCAGTCAAACTGCCTAGGAGCTGTCTTTGTTGTCATAATATTACATTTAAATCTAATCCATGTATTCGACGCAACAAGCTGATGCGACAGAAATGCCCTACGACAGAAATAACACATAGGCATAATGTGCGCTATAGTATAGAATAAGTTGCTAAACTAAAAATTTCGTAGTAAAATATATTATCTGATATCGTTTTAAACTAAAAGGCTATCAGAAAAGATATTTTATTATTCATTAAGGACATATGCGAGGGGAGACTTTTCTCAAAAAGGTTTGATAGACCCCTACGCCACAGGTCGGGCTGACAACTTATCAAGGTCCCCCACAAATTCAATTTCATGTAAAACGCAACCCTAAAAATATAAAGTAAGTGAAACCGTATGACCGTTAGAAATTCATAACATCAAAAGAAGAAGAAATACCTGTATCTTTCATCTCTACGTGGTGAGCGCCTATCAGAGCGTTCTCTGTCAGACCGACTGCGGCCTGGGGACTCGCGACGTCTCTCTTTACGGTCAAACTCGCGATCCCGTTCGCGATCGCGCTCTCGGCTGTCATCTGTAGACAAACAAATAAGGCAATGTTTACCTTAACCAACATAGTACAGGTACTATGTTGCCATGAGTAAGGCAAAGTGCGTGGAAATTCAGATAGCCTGTAGAAGCAGACCATCTTAACGGTAGAGAACATTTCGTCACCAAGTAAGAACACATTAGGTTTAGAACGATAAAGACGCGATCTCGTTTAACCTGAGCCATAATGGCATATATTACTTACTAGAACCTCTACGCTGATCTCTTGAAGGCTGCTGTGGAGAGGGAGGCTCTGCAGGTGGCAGCTCGGGTTCTGACTCAGCATCCTGAGAATCCTGCGACAAGATACGTATAACTTATGAACATTATACACATGGATGTGTAACATACTCAAATGATGTCAACATATCCCATTAACCGTTTAGTACATTTATTTAAATTTATACACAGGCATTTACTGTACTGTCGTGGTTAGTCTGATCAAAATTTATAGAAAAACTAATGTATTCTCTAAGATTTCTCTTCTATCACATTGTGATGAAATGAGAATGAGACTTCAACGCGCTACTTTGTTGCGTCCCCAGCTTTCCACAGAGAATGGTTTGTTCTCCCTCAAGTGGATAGAGCCGTAGATGGTGTTCCGGATCTGCTGGGTTACATGTATACCGCTGTTACATCTGTACCACCTCTGCTGGCAATAAATGTAACACAAACCGACACTATTATTTTAGGTATAATGTTACGCATATGTTCGCAATTTGAGAAACAATTTCTATAATTATTTATAATTAAATTTGTTGTACACAAGATTGGTCTAATTTCAATTTGAAAAAAATATTCCATCTCTAGGGGTGAAAATTAATGATGACCATATGAGTGTCCTAGGTACTTTTGTAAACGTAATTTTCTCAGGAGGTTTAGACGATAAGGCAGCAGACTCTTCAAGAAAGGTGACGATGAGGCGATTTACCTTTTTCGATCCTTTAAATTACTATTTTAATCTCTCTTATACTTTACTATGAACTATGCAAAATAAAAATTATAACAAGAACGTGTGAACAGTAAACAATTAGCATATGTGTAACACTAACAGTGAGTGAACACCTTTAATAGACTGCTAAATTCCTACAAGTGTCTCGACTAAAAATGAGCAAGGGTTGTCACAAAAACGATCACGCTCGTAGGTAGCTAGGTAAAAGTAACATTTGCCTAATTTAACTATATTAAACCTATATAGCAGCATCTAGGGTTCCTATTTCCTTTAAAATTTTGGATAAAAACTTTTACAATTTATACAAAACAGGTTAAAGTTATACATTGGCGAATATTTTATTTCGTTTCTTTCGTTTTGTGATTTCTGTTGGAGAAAATATTGGCATGTGATTGATGCAGCTTTCAATCACAAAATTAATGTAATTATATATTATTAACATATAATAAGTATTGTTGTAATTAAATGTGTATTAAAACACCAAATACATCGAAAGCTTTATTATACGCTCTTTCTCTTATATTGTATTAATGGTAAAGTAACAAGAAAATAATACTACTGTGAGTTAATCAAATGATAAAAATTTTGCGAGCAATCTCGTGTCGCACCAAACTGATGTACATGACACTCCTGGGCCTCAATTCTGCTTTTTTCTGTTAACGCCAAGCCACTGACATTCTATTAACACGCTATTAAGATGCCATTGAGACGCCATTGACATCGGTCAGTCCATCAGTATTTTACTAAGATAAATTCCCATTGTCAATAGACTATCGATCTATTAGTATTTATTACACATAAGGAGTTACTATTGTTTATCTGTGGGTCTTAATTCCTTACAGAAGTAAAGAACCAAATATATGCATAGTTTTGTTTCAAATCCAGAAACTATAGCTTCAAAATAAATCTTTTAGATTTGTCAATCACCTAGTAAAAGCCTGTCAAAATCGCGAAAACATTTAGATGTTTTTGTTCTCTTAATTTTTGTGAGCAGCTTATAAGAAACATTAACTTCATTTAAAAATCAAACATAGAGAAGTCAAGGATAATTACATGGCTGGGGATCAAAGATTTTGTTGTGAAGTGCCGGAACTTAATGTTTTTGTCAATCAATTCAATCGAGCCCTGAGGAAATTTACATATTTAACTGTAAAATAATTTTGTTAGTTAATTTTAACCTACTTTATTTTTGTATCTTGTTATTCTTGTATCAACATGAATCAAATATTCCTATGTACCTATTGTTTGGATGACTATATTGGGTCTGATTTCAGCTTGCAAGATGCCAAATACTGAATGACCAGAAATTTGACAGAGAAACACTTAAGTTCTAATTATCAAACACAATTCTCTTATGCTTCAATCATAATAATGACTCCGCTCATGTTTTTGTAAATTGCACTAATTGGTCATAACTTCTTTTCTGGATGAAAGGAATCCGTTGTCATTTTCTGTGCCAAACACATGTATGCAAGATTCCAAAATTATTGGTTGACTGTTGGCATATTTGTAGCAAGTAAGCAAAGTGTGTTATTATTATTATTATTATTGACACATGATTTCATTGTATTACGTATTAACATATTGAATAAACACAATTTCCACATTTCTATTTATGAATATCAGGAGCAGAACCTTTTTGACAAATACATATATCAAGATTATCCTATCACCATATTAAAAATTTACTTAAACAGATACATTCACACATGTCCAACAGGATAATCAAATGTTAGAATTGAAGATATTGTATTTTTACATAATCTTGAATACTACAGATTTGTGTATGAAACAAGTTTCAAAAATACTGTACTTCCTTCTTTAAATTTTCAATTAAACAAAACACTGCATAAGTGTTCTAATAACCTCACTTGTTTTGACCAAACTTTTATTATGAGAGTTGGCCTTGAATCTCATTTTACATTGGTTTTGGTAAAAAAGTTCAGTTTAAGTTAGTTTTTATTGCTTAGAATGAACATGCATCCACAGATAAGATATCCTTCAGCAAATTATCTTCATAGATTCAATTTCTCAAATGACTTACGGTAACAATTAGTCTGATTAATCAAGAGTCCATTATATTAAGCAAATATCACAATTACCACCTATTTTATGTACATATAATTAAAGTTTTAAATAATCCTTAATATATGTAACTTATGTTTGATATGACAATGAAATTGAAATTCATCAAAATCTTAAAATTTCAAGTTTAATATACAGATAAGATTCATTTATCATATAGCTATGTACTCACGTGCGTTTGTAGTTAAGGGGCGCAGTTTGCACGGACTCGGATGGTCATCTTCAAGCCTCAGCACGTACTCAAGGGGTATTTGACTTTTGTTTTGTGTCAATTTACAAATGGGTAACATATAAAATAATAAAAGTGTTAATATCATCGTTGAAAACAGCTTTATGTAAGTTGTTTTTTATTCAACAATTTACGAAGTGTGAAATTACTGGTAATACTAATCCAATAAGCTTGAATCTACTTCAATACAGATATTGGCATAAACGCCAGAATTAAAGGAAAAATATACTACTTATGTATCAATATATTATAAATATTAATACTGCAGGATTCCATACACTGTATATCAGTCAAATACAAGAGTAAAGCGACTGAATTTATTACTGCAGGATATGTAGTGGTGTTGAGAAATATTAATAAAAGTTACCTCGCTCATGTCCATGTTCACATCATCGTAGTTTGTGTCGTCGTCCCGGCGTCGAAAACTGCAGCTGGCGCCAGCCCCCACCTAAAATATTATTCTATTGTCAAGCAGAGAACGCAGATTAATATCATGGATTCTCAAGTGCTAATATTAAAACGCAATTCGTAAATATAACATGGTTTAACTTCAAAATATAGTGTCAAGGACGCCCAGAACTTACCGATGCTTGTTGGCTTCCATATCGCTCAGATTCATTTTCGTCGTCACTCCCGTAACCAACTAAAGAATCCATATTTAATCTTGTTTTCAATTATGTAGGCCGAGGAAGACTATTGACCACAAAAATATTATTGTAATATCTTACTGAGATAATAAACAACACGCTTTTTAAATGGTTATGAAAAATTAGTGCAAATAAATTTAAGTAACACCACTGAGCACAGACTATTTCGCTTAGTGTTGTGTTGTGTTGCCGTATTCTGTGGTGTTGCCTTACTTGCCTTGCCTTGCCACTCGGCAAAGAACTCAAATAAATACCTTGTGGACATACTGGACCACATATATACTGGACATGGGATAAAATCACAGTGAACTGAGAATTAACGGTGATTTATCATTCGATTTTTTCGTACGTAGGTTAGGGTCACTACATAATCACGCGTTGTGGCCAATAAGCTGTTTTCAGACGATGCATAAAGATTTATGCATCGCCTATTTTTTACAGTAAACCTAGTAATTATTTTATTTTATATAGCTACCATTTCCTAATAATCATTCCATTTTTTACATAATCATTAAACAAAACTAGATTTCCTGTTAAATAGCGTTAAATACCTTCTTACCTAGCAACCCTTAACCAAATATCAAATGATAAATCACAGTTCACTGTGATTTTGTCAAATCTATAGTTGCCAGGACCCTTGAGTCGTAAGTTTTGATCTCTGAAATGTTACATGTTCGTTGCAAAAGTTACATTATTGTGTTTTTGTTTTAATTTACGTGTTTTGTAGGTAGGAGGTAGGTGGCAAGTAGGTGTCAGCAAAATTGCCAAACAAATCACAAACACTAGAACTAGGAAAAGTTCGCGGACCCGCTTAAGTAAAATCAAGTTTTAATCAATCCAGGATACAGTTATTTTGTCATAGCGCGTTCCATTTAAAGCCATTTTCAAGTGTGAATTAATATCACGAAAATATTTGATTAAATATCACTGGGAGTGAAATACTTTTTTTTTATAACCGTCGAATTGATAACCTCCTCCTCTGTGTTTTTGAAGTCAGTTAAAAAGTGTGCTGTATAGTCAGCGGTCGGTGACAAACTAAACCATAGAGATATAACCAAGAGGGAACAAGAGCCCCAGTTAGTCCTCTCTAAACTTTGGATGTCTGGGGAATATGAGGGGTTAATAAGTAACTAATCGCAGCTTAGCTAATCATACACAGTATCGTTTCCACTTACAGGCAGCTGTACTCCGTGTTCTCTCAATGTTTATATCTCTACGGTGTAAACACCACTGGCCAATCTATATCACGATACCTTTGAAGTGAGCCCAAAAATCGACAACATGCCGAATGGGCGCCAATATGGCCAAACGTCGGCTCAAGTTGGTCCAATATGTACTGGGCCCTTTATGAATCGAGTGAGTCGAGCACAGCAGTGCCATTCTCTAAGGGATCAGCATCGCGTACGGCGCTGCCACAGCGTCAAACTTCAAACTAACTTAGTTTGAAATTCCCTTTTATAGCAGAACTTATTATGTCACAATATTATTTTGCAAAACAACATATAGCATAAACTACATTTCGCAGAAAATCGTTTGGAAGACACTCATTTATCATACATTCGAAACTCATAAGTCTGTAAGTCATAATCATCTTAAGGCATAAACTTCATATCCATAATAATTAAAAAGTAGAACCATCATGTCGCCGAAAGTTCATAGTCAAAATCGTTTTTGAGCATAAATTTCATATCGATAGTCATTAAAAGGCAAAACTATCGTATCTCAGGAAGTTTACAGTGAGAATCATCTTTCGGCATACATTTCATTGCATTACATTTCTATTAAGCGTTTCAAGACTTTACAAAGTAAACTTGTTATTGACTAGTCACGGAATCATGGAGATTTCATCTTTCTGCTGATTTGCTCCAAAATTATATAGTACGTGTTGATTGGGCCTGTTTAAGCATACATACATTTTTAAACAAAGAAAGAAATGTAAATATTTATTAATAAAATAGCTGTTTTTTGGTTTATTTCTTTGTTTCAATTCTTGAAAACTTTAATTATAAATTTACACATACACATCAAACTACCAAAGGCACATAATAATGAATCCAATAGTACTGAAAAACTTCCCGAAACAGTAATATAATAACTTTTAAAGTCCTTCCGTGCGTGTAGCATCAGCTGATCTGCAGTTGACGATGTGAGTATCACCTTTATTCTGTCGCGCATGCGCAATGCGCAAATAATTGGCTGGGAAATGCCACGACGGTTTTTTATTGTTTACAATAATAATTATTGAATATTTTTAAGAATTAGCATGCGGGCAAATTAAATTAGAGCAAGGGCAATTTTTTCACGCTTGGTAGAGTAAAAAATAATCATTTTTCAAAGAGATATGGCTATTTTAAGTAGAGGAAAATTGAAAATTATATTTCTATTTTTCCTGGGAAAACGAAAAACGGGCTTATAAATTAATTAACGTAGGTCGAAAGGGCTAATTGAGATCTATAAAATGAGTTTTTTTTTATTTTGAAATTTTAATATCTGCAGGCTGGAACGTGCTCGGTGTGTTCTGAGCTCCTAGCGGAGGAGTTGAGTGACAGACAGAACACAGATAATATAAAATACTTAGTCAGTTACTAAAGTACCATAGAAAAAGATATTTATTTATTTGATAGTATAATACATATTACAATACTTATATATTCTTGCTTACATAGGTCAATTTTTTATGTACCAAAATTATTAAGTATGAGTCATTTGCACAATTCTTACTAAGATTCTGGAAATGAAATAGTACAAGAATGGGTGAAATGAGAATTTTTCTGTCATCCAGTAGTAATACCTATGCAATGCAATAGATGAAATTCTATAAATATAGCAAAATATTTACAGGTCAAATTCCTGATGATAATGTTACTAAAATAGAAAATTACTACCCTGCACTATTTGAACTGTTCTAATTCTTTAATAGGTACATCTCTATAATACCTCAATCGACGCCATTAGGCAAAATAAGCAGTCTAACAAACAGTTTGTTGCCGACTCGCTAACTGTTAGCTGATAGGTTACGCTGTATTTTTGTTACATTTTAAAACGAATATTAAATATCTACGTAATACTTATAATGCGTCTTTATAAAACAGACTGCATGTTTTCTTGTTTTCTCTTGTTGGTTCTTGTTTTATTTGTAGCCACTAAGTATTGACCCAAAAGTCGTTCAATCAGCGGCGAACCACTCATTACAATACATGCTCATTATAATACTCAAGCTTCAACTTTAGAAGAATAGTTATTGTTATTAAAAAATGGGTATTCATACGGTAAAATTCATAGCGGAAATACAAAAGAGACCATGTCTCTGGAATAATAATTTGGAAAATTACAGCGGTAATAAATTAGCGAAGCAGCAAGCTTGGGATGAAGTTGCACAGATTATGTTTGCAGACTGGTTAACTATGGATGCAACCAATAAAACTGAAAAACGTAAGTATTACAGTTAAACGATTTTATTGTATATCGATTAACTAAGTGATTAGTTTATATGATGATAAATAATGACGGGATAAACCCTTTCGTTAGGCAATCGGCAAGTAATACAAGTCAATTGTTTGTATCCTTTTTTTAATTGTTCGTAAGACTCGTAAATCATTCCTAATGCTCAAGTTATATTTTTTTAAGAAAAAGGTTAGTGTTAGATCAAAACTAAAGTTTTCAATAAAAGAAAGGAAACCCTCCGAAGATTAGGAATCTAATTTTAGAGAAAGAATAATATGCAAGGACATCATTAATAGATGTGGTAGTGATCAAGTGTTGGAATGCAAGTAGGTGAATGAATGTTGGAGTAAAATGAGAAATTATATGTAAGTATAAAAAGATTTCGAGAAAAGTGTTTGGATATACGAAATGAAAACACATTATTGAGGATATACTTGGCGGTTCATTCAAAATGTATATATGCATAAAAAGCTTACTTTATAGGTACATTCTCATCACATTCATTTTTATCCCATATCAATCATGTTGTATGGTAAATAGTAATAGTTTTTGCTAAATATTTATTATTACAGTCAGACAGATACAAAAGAAATGGAAAGGCTTGCGTGATTACTTCGCTAGAGCAAGAAATAACGCACCAAAAAACAAAGATGAAACGGACAGACGAAAGAGGCGCAAAGCCCCTTCTTTAAAAATGCTTCAATTTCTAAATATTACCAAACCCGATGACGGTGTAAGACCTGAGCCAGAGTCCGAAGACAGCGACTCATCGTATTCGTCGAGGTCAAAATCTGTAAAAAGTCAAGTCTTCATCGAGACCGAACAACTCATTACAGAAGTTCAAAATAAGCCTTGTATTTGGAATTTTAGCGCTGTAGATTACAATGAAAAAGATGCAAAGCATCAGGCGTGGATCGAAATCGCAGTCGCTCTACACGAAGATTTTTTATCTCTGAGTGAAAGGAATAAACGTGAAATAGGTATGTACGTAAAGATTGCATAATTAAACAAAGATAATACAATTAGTTGAGAATTCCATTATTTTTAATGGCGGATATTTAGTTCTGTTTCCTGCACTAAGACCGCAAAAGGGAAGATACACATCTTTCCCTTTTGCGGTTTTATATATAATAATTAGTAAAACATATTTATTTTTTACTAATTATTTTAACTATAGTAGTAAATTCCAGTTTATAATACCGCATGTGACATTGCTTTACAGTTAGACACATGCAGAAAAAATGGAAGGGATTACGCGACTATTTCACTCGCCAAAAAGCTAAGGAACGAGCTACTAAAGGCGAACGTCCATTAAGAAAACGAAAGGCACCTTTTTTAGCAATGTTACAATTTTTAGATATTCCCAAACCTGGCGATGATGAATCTCAAGATCAAGGCAAATCAGGCAGTGTAACGGAGCTAAATGATAACACACTGCATGAAGCTGATTCTGATGGAAGCCGTTCTTCAGTTACGTGGTCAAGGAATCAATCATCTTTGTCCAAACAGTCAAAAAATATGCCTCGTAGTACTGTTAAAAAAAAATCGCTTATGCGTAAAAGAGATCCTGATATGAACTTTCTGTTAAATATACTACCCGATATGAAGTCCATGAACGCGAGACAAAATTTCGATTTCAGGTTTAAAGTTATGAAATTAATAAAAAATATTAAATATAACAAACCTAACGATTGCTACTACAGCAATGCTTCTGGATCATCCACACAAGGGCAAGAAATGCCCCAGTTCACGTGGCACACGACCAGCACAGACGCCAAGTCAGGTAAACCGCCATTCCGTCATCAGGTCATAATACACGAGTATCCGACGAATTCGGACGGTGTGAATGTGCAAAGTCCTTTATCTAATGAATCAGCTGGCTCTTCCGTCGAAGATATTAAAGCAATACTGCAGGAGTCATCGGACGAGCAAAGTGATTAATTGGTCTTTGCTCACAATTCACTGAACACCTACGTGCACAAAAGCTGCAAATCTTCAATGCAATTGAAAAAAAGGAACAGTAAGTGTCAATAATAATTAAAAGAAGCAAAAATAATGTTTTCATCAACAGTCTCCTGCTGGACGTAGCCCTCTCCTTAGAAAGGTTTTGGCCCAATATTTTACACTGGCCCGATGGGTTGGTACAGGGTTTGTATCAAGTTTTTATTCTCTTTGCAGTGCTGTTGTCGTGCATAATTTGCTCCCTTAGTTCGCTCTAACAACACCCGTGGGATGAATAGGGGTGGTGACTCTCCGTTTTCTTAATCCGTCACAACACAGATAATGTTTTATGTACTTATTATTATTTTTTGCGACTTGTACCTGTATTTCTTCAGGATAGTTACTAGGAATATAAGTTGTATAAGAAGTTGTTAGACGTCGAACTAGCAAACAGAAGGTTCTGGTTTCACCACACTATCACGATAACCCACTTCTAAGAACTAGCGTTTTAGTTATGTACTTAGAGAGATGAATAAAAAAACTAGTGATATTGAACATTACTACGTTGTAATTAATATTTTATTGGAATGTTCTTTAAATTACATTCCACTACATCCGTATGATAATGATAGGATTATTAATGAGTAGTATGTCTCCTGTATGGTGAGCAACATGCAAGGCAATTCCTCCTGATTCCCTGACTGACCCACTGATTCTGCCACTCACAAGTTTCGCCATAGGAAGCGTCCGATACACCTTCTCGGTTTTACCCAATAAACGATATCTCGCAATGGAAACTAAAGCAATCATTTTATAGCTATTCTAACGATTCTTTATAATGATGCACTTGCAATGTGTCCTACATTGATAGTGCATCATTATAAAAAATCGTTGATTGTGGTTTGAATATCCCCTATACCTATAATAGTTCGGTCAATTTAGACATGTAAGGATACAATAATTAGGCAAGAGCTAAAAGTTGGCATCAACACTATTATAATTCCAAAAAGTACCCATTGATCCCGTTTTTTTTCAAAGGTCTCAAAAATTGATTTATCGCGTTTGTCACCAAACTGTATGGTTTTAACTGTAACTTACCGTTTTGCTGAAAAACGCGGAAAACCTTGAATTAAAAAGCAGCATTCATTTATAACCGGACCGGACTGTACCATAATGAAACGACTCGTTCCCGGTGGTGCAGCCATACGTTACCCTTGGATAACCACAGCATAGAGTTTGAGCTAGTTATCGATATTACTATAATTGAAACAGCCTATCAATTAAACTAATAGCGATAATTGACTCAATCTCTACGGCGGGTGAACCAATGAGAATAATAATAATTTTTTTTTCGGACATCTGCCACACAACGCCATCTCATTTCAAACTAAGCAGAGCTTGTAGAAATGAAATGAAATGAAATTTGTAAATGCATACATAATATACATAGAAAACACCCAAACTTCGAAACAAATCTTGCAGATCATACAAACATTTGGTCCGACCCGGGAATCGAACCCGAGACCTCAGCGAAGCAGACGCATACGCTACCACTGCACCACCAAGGCAGTCATAATAATAATAAGATAGTAGTTTTATGGATTTATTCCCTGTGGTTACCCTGGAGTGATGTTAAGGGAGCACCGTAAAAACGCATTGGGATAATTGCTATTCCGCGATTACAAAATTAGATATTCTGATAATAAGAATTCTCTATTCTATAGGTATATTAGATATTGCTAGATTTTTTCACACCTACAAACAAATTTGAGTCGCAGATAATATTAATACGTGTATTTGTAAATTGCTCACACGCGTCTTTGCAATCTCACCGGAAGGAAACGTTCAAATAACATTGCCAGATGCACTGGACACTCAAATATCTTGATCAATCCAGCGCCTTAAGCAGAGGAAATGTAACACGTTAACATACTTTTACCATTTATTTCCTACACAATATCCTCATAATTTACAATATTATGTTTGTACAATATAACAAAAAAAAAAATGATTTGCTTCTAATATTTTATGTATAATACATTAATACCATTATAAGCATACATCAGCATTATTATATCTAAAGTACAATATATGGAACCATTTAATAGTGATAGAACTTTCTTCTCATCTATTCACACAAGGTTTCTATGCACTTTTCTCTGGTTTTTTGAACTTGTGGTTCATTCATTCTAGTACCTGTTCAAATTCACAAAACCCAACAGGTCTATTAAAAAACGTTACATAAATATTTGTTTGTACCACAAAAATAAACATGTCGCATTTTGTGGATTAATCCGTCACCATACGGACCAGCGTGGTATAGTAGGCCAAAACCTCCTTTTTAAGGAGAGGCCTATGTCCAGCAGTGGACTAGTATAGGCTGTTGATGTGATTTTGTGGATTTGGGCATAGTTTCAGATTTGTGCTCCATGGCGGTAAATGAGAAAAAAATCTTGAATTTTGTTACTAAAATCAGTAAAACACATAGAAAACTTGATAGAGACAGAGAACAGCATATTTGTGTTTGAAGGTTTTCGAAGGTCCCCAATGGTTTTAAAAAGGTTTTCGCGGTCTGGAGGAACATGTATAAGACTTGTCTAGTAACTTTAAATGGTGAGTAGTCACTAAAGCTTCCGAAAAAATGCGGGTAGCTAAAGTTTTTTTTGGTAACTAAATTGCCAGATACGGTATTTTTTACTTTTAACTATATTTTGATATCTTTTTGTAAGAAATTTGATTGGAGTCACTGCATCATGACCCTCACATTGTGTTACAATATTATACCATTAACACTAGGCACATATCATAGGCACTATAAGCATAGTATAGGTATTCAGAAAAGACACCAATTCAAAATTCTTATTTACACTATATTACGAAATTTGCAGATGTCACTAATTTACTGTAGAAAATGTTCTAAAGCTGAATTTGATACTTTCGCCATAAACTATGTTTTAACATCTTCTGCTTTCTTGTTTGATACTTGGTCTTTATCATAGTCCGATGTACCATTTATTGCAAACATAACGAAAAGTCCTCCTAATAGTATAGCAACAAACATAGCTGTTTCTTGTGTATGGGCAACTGTTGCATCTGCTTGTTTTTCTTGCTTCTTCTTTAGAAACTCTTTTTCATACTTTGACTTTTCATATAAGTTACTGTAGTGATTTTTCGCCCTGAAAAGTTAACATGTAACCATGATCATAGTAAAATTGATAGGAATGGGTGATGAGAAAAATATTCTTTATAGCGGCAATTCAGCTGAAGAAGAACAAATTACAGAAAAACTATAATCGTTTTTCTGGTAGATGGTGGGATTTCATAGGATCATGGGAGGAGGTAAACTTGAAAATGTAATATCAGATTACTTATTTACAAACCTATTTATACAAAAGACTTTAATACTTTTTGTTTGAATCTTGTATGAACTTTCAGAACAACATACCAAGCATCAAAGTTATAAATTGGTGTTTTTCCATCCATAGTTGGTACCATTCCTCTACGGTCGCGAGACTTGTAGAACTTTAGGGATGGGTCTGTAGGCTCTTGTTCTGGCTCAGATGTCATCCTTGATGGACTAAGTCTTGGACCTAACAAACCTAGACAACAAAAGGTCAATGATTGATTACAGACCAAATTTTTCATTTATTTGTAGAGATTGGTATGCATATTGGCTTTAGAAACCACAGGCATTTTTAAGGTTCTATAAAGTTTCCTAGTGCACTTCTCTTATAAGAACATGTCCTACAGAGATAAGCACTAAATAGAAAACTGTTTTACCTTTTTACAATATTAGTAGTAACTTTACCTAAAATAACATTGAGGTAAAATATCATTCAAGGTTAGATACTCTATAAATAGTTACTTATTATTGATGATACAAACCTCTGTCATACATTTTCTTCAATTTTACATTTCCTAGCACTTCATATGCTTCTGATATTGCTCTAAATTTTTTTGCTGAGGTTTCATCCTAAAACAATCTCTTGAATTACGAGGTGTTACGTAAAAAGGATAATCACTATTTTATAATGTAATCCGTCTTACAGTAGACTTATCTGGGTGATGGACTTTTGATAATTTATAGTAAGCTGTTTTAATTTCACTTTGAGTTGATTTCGGTGTGACTCCAAGGACTTCATAGTGGTTGGCGTAAAAACGAATCGATGGAAAAACCGATCGAACGCCTGACACTACGTTCTTCTTGCCTAGGCTGATCATCTGCAAACATAACTACTTAATTTTAATATTTTTTATGAAACAACATAAAACCATACTTTAAGTATAAAAGTTACTAACTAGCCTGAGTTCCTTAGATTTAACCTAAATAATGCCTTCTAAGCATTCAATTAAGAATGCCTCGGCTAAAAAAATAAATATTTATTTAAATCCCATCTGATTTTGTCATTTTTTCACAGTCGTGAATTTCTGTCAATTCGAATGTCAACAAGCAACAGATGATCTGCCTTGGTTAAAAAGTCTTTTGTCTTTGACAAACAAAAGACTTATAAACGCAATAATAGCAAAGATGATTGGTTTTATTATGAAAGTGACTATTGCCACCCATATACTCGTACACCTGAAACAGAGGCGTAGCTAGATAAACAAAGTTCCTGGTGCAAAATAAAAACTGGGGCCTTAACTAAACTGCTTAGGATTTATCAAGTCAAAATATAAATAAATACTTTAAAGGTACAAAGCTACTAGTTTATCAGCAGTTCTTTATCGTGCAATGCATGGCACTGCAAAACTACTTACTACATGTATGTGCATAAGTGTCTTGTATGAGCTTAAGTGATCGCTTAGGTTTTACAAGTGAAGATATAGGAACGTATACTTGGATTAATAACATTGGTATTAAGCAATATAATGCAGTTAATCAAAAGGTTCATGCACGTTTGTACCTAGAACACTTTATTGTACATAAAACATGAAAAACAATGTATGTACAGATAAGTCATGTACAAAGGCATACATCCCTTTAAGGGATCTCTTCTAGTTATCATGTGGAAGTCAGACCTACCTAACTATACTGATGGGTAAATCATCATCAGCCTACCCTTATCCCTATTTTATTTGGGGTCGGAGCAGTAAGTATAATCCTTCCATTCTACTCTATCATTCATCATCTCACTGTTTACTCCCTTCCTAGCCATATCCTCACACACAGTCCATCCACCTTTTCTTTGGTCTTCCTCTTCTCTTATACCGTGCAGAACGTGCACACCACACGGCCGACATTTTCGGCAAGAGGTGGCAAAAACAGAAATCGAAACGAAAAAGTCTCATTATTTGATATAACATCTATTGATCGGTGTACATAAAGTAAATGCAAACGTCTTTAAGCTTCGAATTACTTCAATAAACGTAAGGATATGAATCACACAAGGCGCAGGCACGGGATTCCCCAATACCCCTACCTGGAGATCATCCATGTCTGATCCGCAAGGAGCCAACGCCTGAGTGCCACTACTGCGATGGCAGGACCGTGGACACGGCGCTCCACACGCTGGCAGAATGCCCGGCGTGGATGGAGTAGAGGCGTTGCCTCGTGACGACCATTGGAGTGAGAAGTCTCTCACTCGGTAATATGATTGCCGCCATGGTACGGAGCGAGAGATGGAACTCCGCCGTCTCATATGAGCAAGTTATGCTTGCAAAGGAGATGGCAGAACGGGACCGGGAGAGGTTTAGAACTCTCTCGGCCCGCCAGGCCCGGAAATTGGCCCGGCACCGCAGACGACTCAGGCGCTGGAGGTCACAGAACGACAGGTGCAGACCTGGAGGTGGTAGGTGAGGCCATCTGTCACCCAAGCAGAAGCAGGCCGGGGTGGTGGCGCGGCTTTTGGTCACTTTGAGTCCGACATAACCATCCCACCGGTGGGTGGTATCTGAGGGGATTTCCGTACAGAAGAAAAAAAACGTGAAATCGCATTGAAGAGAAAATAAAGAGCATTTTTGACAATTATTTATCAATCGTTACTACCACATGATCTGAAGCAGTAATTATCGGTCTTAAATGTTTTAAATATTATTTTCCCTCATTTCCTAAATTTTGAATGGAATATGTAACCGTACTTTTTATAAAATGAAATGCCTCAAAGTTAAATGCAAGTTCAATACCTTTTTCTGTAGTTTTTAAAAAAAAAATACCAATTCATTATCTTATTATTTACTAATATGCCAAATGAAAAAAAAAAGGTCAGGTACGAGTCGAACTCGTGCGCCGAGGGTTCCGTACCTACTCAGATTTTACGTAGATTTTTGCAAAAAATTACCAGTAGAAAAATTTATCTTAATTTTCAATTTTTTTTATTTTTTGTAATTATTCCTTTATTTGTGCTGTAAGACGTTTCTTTTTGCCAAATTTCGTGTTTCTAGGTCAACGGGAACTACCATATAGGTTTTCGACCCAAAACCTATGGGTTACTTCCGGCTTACCTAGAATTGTCAATTTTGAAAAGCAAGGTAACAGCTCAAGTAAAGAGAAAATTCTGATAAATAAAAAAAGTTGTAAATTAAGGTAAATTTTGGTACTTACAAGTTTTCGCGAAAATCAAAATTTGCCCATATCTTATTATCGTTTTGACTCAGGACCTTGATTTTTATACACCTAATAGGGACCTTAGACCTCAGTATCTGGTATAAATTTCAACTTGCTAGGTCTACCCGTTCCTGAGAAAAACGGTGGTGACACACGGATAGACGGACAAGAAAGTGATCTTATGAGGGTTCCTTTTTTACCTTTTGAGGAACGGAACCCTAAAATGACTCTTGAATACAAATAATCGTTAAAAAGTATGGAAAATCGAGATTTTTAATAACGAGTCCTTTTTAATCCACGCGTCCTAAAGTGTTTAATAATACTTAAAATTAATCTGACATCCAACTGTCATTGACAACATATAATTAAAATTAAAAGTATGTAAGAATGTAATGGCCAGGTGGAGTCACGATTTGCGTAAGATGGATGGCAGGAGCTGGATGCGAGAAGTCCAAAATCGATCTCAAGTGGCGTGCAATGAGAGAGGCCTACGTCCGGCAGTGGACTGCGATAGGCTGATGATGATGATGAAGAATGTAATGTAAAGGACTGTAATTTTAAATAATCATTGTGGGCAAAAATCGTCTGTGCGTGACCAAGTCTAGTGTATAATAACATGTACTAATGCAACCTATGATTTAACATTACAATATGGGTTTTTATAGTTACACACAAAAGACTGTAATCGATTGGTACATACTAAGATGAAATTTAAATCGCTTAAGAATCTGATATTGTAGTGATCGATTTCTTGGACCCCATCGCTATACTTCAATCTGTCAGAACTGTCAAGCGGTACCTCTTAGATTAGATGGGCTATAGAACTTACTACTAGGTACTACGGTAAGGTACGATACGAGACGAGTCATTTTAAAGATTAAAGAGTCAACGTTTCGGAACGCACGTATTTGACGTCAAACAAATTACTCATACTTAGCGATCAAGTAAAATTTATTTTATTATTTCATTCAATTTTCGAAATCGTTGTTTTTTTGTTGTGCATCGTAAACTAAATAAGGGTAAGTATTACTTAATATATATGGGTCTTATTATTAAATGGTTACTAAACAGATGTTGTGTTGAAAACACACCCATATAAGGTAATCTGTGGTGTTTGACATCGTGTGTCCTAGATAAACTTCGTTACTGGAACTGGATGGAAGGCGGTTTTGGCAATGACTCACTTTCTTGTTAACGTACTGACTTGACGATAAGCTGAGTGACACCTGAAGTTAATTATAATTTTATTTATAAACTGTTGTGTGGAGAAAATTTTTAGTAACGTACTCGGTGCCTGAGTTTACAGTGTTGAATTGACAAAAAAGTAAACAAAGGAAAAGGTACATAAATAGATAAAAATAAATGGAGATGCTGTAAACGATATATTTCTATTTAGAATAATTATTACTATTTAAGCATCTAGTTTATTATTTCTTTTTTTTTTAATTCAGATACCATCATGTCCTCACGTAAGACAGCCGGACGCCGTGGTACTAACAAAAAGCGTGCCCAACGTGCCACATCCAATGTGTTTGCTATGTTTGATCAAGCTCAGATTGCAGAGTTCAAAGAAGCATTCAATATGATCGATCAGAATAGAGATGGTTTTGTGGACAAAGATGATCTTCATGACATGTTGGCTTCACTTGGTAAGTGAAACCTGAAGTGCTATAACATAAAATTTCTTGCAATATTACTGTGTGCAAATACATAAGTAGTCTATTTATTACAATACTTGCTGTAAGCAAATATTTAAGTCTTTTTCCCTATAATATTACACAATTCAGTGCACGAAATTAAGGAAATATTGTATAGATAGATAGAAAACTCTTAATTTAGAAAAGTAGTATCATACATAAAAATATGAAATATGTAATGTACAAAGGTTGACCTTATTGCTAAGAGCAATCTCTTCTAGGCAACCTTATGTGTATCATTTCCATCAAAATGTTTTGGTGTGGTGTGGATTCTTGGTTCTATTTCTTCTGGATTCTTGCTAGTACCTAAATTATATTATTTTTTCTAAACACCTATGATTCATAAGTGCACAAGACACTCACATATTTGCCATGAGGGCAGCATAATTTTTTAAAATTAAAATGTGTGCCTAGTATGTATATCGAAGCTACAATCTTCAGTTTGGTATCTGCTAATGTAGTAATAATCCACCATGAAATTTTTCGTATGAATAAGTTGATTTAGAAAATTCATTTTATGGCATGTATCACTTTATTGTTACACTTGAACTATTGATAATGAAGGTAGATATGTTACCATTTCAATATAACATTGTATGTTAGTATGGTCATTTGTTAGTTGTTTTTTTCTAATTATTGTGTGGTGTATGGAGTGGTGATCTTTTAATATAATAATAACCTCACACATCTCAGGTGGCATTCATAATACTGGATGACATTGAAATTATGTTCAACCGCATAGGAAATGTTGCTACATTTCTGTATGAGGCACAGGGTAATTGCAACTTCCATCGGGGTATTTCCTTTCTACTGTACACCTGGTTCCTCGGCTACTGGTACCCGAGACGGTATGTGGTTTTAATGGGTTCGAGTCCAACATAACAACCACCTCACAGGTTGTCCTGTGGGTGGGTATCTGAGGGGATTTCACAAAAAAAAGGTAATTGCAATTGTCAGGACAGTGCAGTTTTCTGACATCAGCCAGGTGGAATGTTATTGAAAGTGAATGTTTTGAGTGATGTTTATTGTTTATTATAATGTGTGTGATCTATGCTTTTTCAATAAGTATTTGTTGATGACAATTGATAAGAAATATTTGAGTATAAAAAATTGAATATATTAAATTTAATAGCTTACAGAATTTTATCAAGTTTTAAAGTGTTTAGTAGAGTCCGTAGGCCAATTACCCTCAAGTTGTGGCACAATAATTGTAATTAACATATTATATAGACCTATTAATTAAAAAAAAAAAGAATTTTACATGACTAGCCAATTTACACATTACATTTTAGTTACATTCAGTTTGACTCCAGTGCTAAACAATTTGTGTAAGTTTGGAATCCTTGAACATATTTTGTCCTTATAACCTAACAAATTCAATAATCAACATAAAGTTGCAATAACTTGGGTGATTCATTGAGGAAAGCTCAAGCACAGGTCAGTATTGTTTTCATTGTGAAACAATGTTTGCTCATAACACAGTTTGTATAAAAAATTGTATGATAAATATTTTACATCAGTACAGTAACCTGACATGACATGACATTAAATATTAATAATTACCAAACTATCTCACTTTTCACATAAAATAGACATAAGATATGTAGATTCAAAATAAGTATATAAAGGAGCTCCAAAGGTACTATAGATGCAAAACATATAACATTGAATATCTAGTAAATGAGGATGGATGTAAGGAAAATAAATGTAAATAGTATACCTACACATAGTTATTTTCTATGTATGTATTATATACATTTAGTAATGAATATTCTGATCAGACAAACACATTATCCTGGTAGAATAGTAGCTTTCACTAAAGAAAATACTATTAATTAGGTAATTAAGAAATTCTTTCTTTGTTTAATTTGTATACCTTTTTTAAAAGACAACTTCCGCATTAGGACATTAAGAATATATCCTGTGTCGCTGGGGACTTTAAAAACATACATGAAACACGGACTCAAAGAACACCCAGACTCAGAGCGACTTTTTGTGGACTTTTTGTGTCGTCCGATGTGGGGATCGGACCCACAACACACTTAAACCACTACGCCATCCGTGCAGTCGTATAACTTCAGATCATAAGTCTTACACCAATGCGGACTAACTGTATTATTTAAGAGCAAGCTTTATTCATTTAAATTAGTCGAGTTACCATTGTGTCAATGCTCAACACCTAACTCTCACTATGAACAGTCTGCTCATCATATCCTCTGGGAATGTAGTCTTTGGTATAATGAACGTAATATAATGCTGAATAGCTTGCAGGTGACATCTAGGGCGGTATACTATGGGGATCTTGTGTCAACTAGGGTGAATTTCCATGCGATTCTGCAATACATATTATAGAAATCAAATATAGCTCACGTAGGACCCGTAATATTTTGTCGCCTTGGTGCTTCCCTGTTTAAAAGGGTGTATGCCCATTTTACTTCATTTTGTCTCCCGCTTTGCTAAGGAGGGAAGTGGATTTACTGTATTTCCAACTCCAATTTCGTTGCGGGTTCCAAGACAGTTTAATTTCTTCCTGGGACTTCCCGAGTGTCATAACTCGTTGTGTTCGTGGGTCACTGCTGTGGATCCTGGTGTTACAGTGGTGGGCGTGTGGGTGGGATTAGTCCCAAAAAAAAAACTGTATTATTATTATGTTTTAATTACAAGAAAGAGTTATCTATCTATCTAATTATGATTATTTTACTACACTTATTCGACATGGGGTCAATCATTTAATACATTAAAGATCATATACGGAGCTACTTATTTAGGTTCTATGTGCTATGGTGCACCTGTATGGGCCGATAGGGCGACCGTAGGCGCTGTCCGTCGCAAACTGTTACAAGGCCAACGACTTGCACTGATATTCTTGTGTAAGGCATATAGGACGGTTAGCACAGAGGCTTTGCCGGTGTTGGCGGGTGTGCTTCCGGTCGATCTCGAGGTGCAGAGACGTGCAGCCATGTACTATTCAAGACAACAAAACATGGAATGCGATTTTTTGGGCGCGCGGGATCGCGGTAAAATTACAAGATTGCTTCAACAGCAGCCCGATGTCTATAATGACCTCGTAGACGAATGGCAACAACGCTGGGATGAATCATCCAAGGGGCGCCATCTTTACCAATTCTTTCCATCTGTTCGCGAACGGTTGTCGAGGATATGACTTGAGGTGGATCACTGTGTCGCTCAATTTCTTACGGGTCATGGTAACTTTAAGAGCAAGCTTTATTCATTTAAATTAGTCGAGTCACCATTGTGTCAATGCTCAACACCTAACTCTCACTATGAACAGTCTGCTCATCATATCCTCTGGGAATGTAGTCTTTGGTATAATGAACGTAATATAATGCTGAATAGCTTGCAGGTGACATCTGGGGCGGTATACTATGGGGATCTTGTGTCAACTAGGGTGAATTTCCGTGCGTTTAGGCGATTCTGCCATACATATTATAGAAATCAAACATAGCTCACGTAGGACCCGTAATATTTGTGGCCGTGGTGCTTCCCTGTTTTAAAGGGTGTATGCCCATTTTACTTCATTTTGTCTCCCGCTTTGCTAAGGAGGGAAGTGGATTTACTGTATTTCCAACTCCTCGTATTTTCTTCTGATTAATTTCGTTGCGGGTTCCAAGACAGTTTAATTTCTTCCTGGGACTTCCCGAGTGTCATAACTCGGTGTGTTCGTGGGTCACTGCTGTGGATCCTGGTGTACAGGAGTTACAGTGGTGGGCGTGTGGGTGGGATTAGTCCCATTATACACTTATTTGAAATAGGCATTTTGAATAACCACTAAACTTTTTGAACTCATACAGAAGTTATCTCATCTCATGAAGTATTGATATTCTACACAGAGTATTGTTTACAGGTAAAAATCCTACTGAAGAATATTTAGAAGCCATGATGAATGAAGCACCTGGTCCCATCAATTTCACAATGTTTCTTACATTGTTTGGGGAGCGCCTGCAGGGCACTGATCCTGAAGATGTCATTAAGAATGCATTTGGGTAAGTTCTACCTCTGCATACTTTGAATGCTTCAGCTTTGAAGTTGGCCTATCTTTAATATCATCCTTATTGCATGGGACTCAGTATGAGATAGATAATATAATAATAATATTCTACAACATTCACACAACGCCATCTAGTCCCAAACTAAGCAGAGCTTGTACTATGGGTACTAGACAACTGATATAAATACACATTTATTTTTTTTGTAAAAACATACATATTATATATAGAAACACCCAGACCAAATCAAACAATAAATGTTCATGCACACAAATGTTTGCCTTGAAAGGAAATCGAACCCGCGATCTTTGGAATAGCAGTCCGTTACACAAACTACTACGCCATCCGGTCCGATAATAACATAATAACAAAACACACATCTCACACACGGCATTCTAATCCCAAACTAGGTAGAGCTTGTGCTTTGTTAACCACTTAAGTACGAAATACTCGTACTTAAGTACGAGTATTTCTAAATACATTCATCCCATATTCCCTGTTCTCCCCTTGGGTTTTGTAACAGTCGACAAAGGGAGCAAACTACGCAAGACAACAGGACTACAAAGAGAAGGAAAACTTGAAATAAACGCCATACCAATCTGTCTGGCTAGTGTGATATAGTAGGCCAAAACCTCCTTTCTAAGGAGAGGCCTATGTCCAGTAGTAGACTATTAAAGAGACACAGAATACACGATCATATATCATCACACAATTATTTGCCCTGGGAAGGAATCGAACCTACCTCTGGCTTAGCAGTTAAAAGTTCACTAACTACTAGACTAACAGGACTGTTATGTGATGTAATAATAAAAGACCCTGAGAGATATGACATATTAACTTTCAAGTTCTGTCCTCTTAATTTGCATATTAAATTATATAGAATACAATTGCATCATAAAAATTGAAACATACGAAAATGTTGCCAAATCATTTATTTAAAATTTCCAATACAGAAGTAATTTTATTCAAATATTAATAGAGCTACATTAAATTGATCAAAAAATTTAAATTACTTAAATTTTTATTATTTATTTTCTTAAAATAAATTTAAATTTATCATATCGAACAAGAGTGTATAACCTTTTTAGATAGCTATATTTTTTGACCTGCATGTTACTAATGGCGTATAATTTGTTTCTAGGTGCTTTGATGAGGAAAATACAGGTGTGATTGGCGAGGAGCGTCTACGTGAGCTTCTTACAACGATGGGCGACCGTTTCACTGACGACGATGTTGATGAGATGTTGCGTGAAGCACCGATACGCGATGGAATATTTGACTACGTGGAGTTTACACGCATACTCAAGCATGGCGCTAAGGAAAAGGATGAACAGTAATATGTTGACTAATAAGCAGGTTGTTATAAATACAGCTAATTTGAAAGTTAAACAAGAAATATGTTATATAAAAGACAGTTGACTCATCAAAAGTACTTAGTCATTATTTATTTGTGTTCCATGGCATTCTTAAACGTGTTCACAATTAAAACTAGACTTGCAACGAATATTCGGTTACTATTCGGTATTCGGCCTATTCGGCTGATTTTATTATATTCGGCCGAATACCGAATATCTACATATTATTCGGCCGAAAGAAGGTTTTGGCCTACTATACCACGCTGGCCAGGCGGGTTGGTATAGGGTTTGTGTCAAGTTTTCCGTCTTTTTGCAGTGCTAGTGTCCTGCGTTGTTTTGCGCCCTTAGTCGGTTCTTACGACACCCACGGGATGAATTGGGGTAGTGACATTCCGTATTCTTAATCCGTCACTACACGGACTTCTTTCTAAGGAGAGGCCTATGTCCAGCAGTGGACTATCAAAGGCTGTTGATGTGATGATGATGATGTGATTCGGCCGAATACCGAATACTTAAATAATATATTTTATCATTGAGAAATAATTGGTAAAATGAAAAATTAAAATCGATTGATTACGTATATATTCATATTTTCATTTCTGTTATAATCTTTTAAGTAGTCATTGGTGCATAACACAGGTACATAATCATCTTCTGAATAGGAAAAATGGAGGATTCTATGTATTTGAATTATTGTGGTAATCAAAATTTAGAAGGGTAAGGTTCTCATTTCTTTTATAATTATTTATTAGGTAGTCATTGGTACATAAAACAGGTACATAATTTAATTCAAGTCTGTCCAAGTTTTTGGCGCTAAAATCCAGCCGAATACTTTTGCCTAATATTCGGCTATTCGGTCAGGGGCCTCGCCGAATATTCGGTATTCGGTATACTGCCGAATATACTATTCGTTGCAAGTCTAATTAAAACTCTTTTATCATAAATATTTGCCTATCGGTTATTGTATATCGTACGTTTAGAAACTACAAGCGAGTTTCAAGCAACATTCGAGCTTTTACTAAATTGCTCCTGGTGACGCCGGAAGTTAGATAGGCTCAGTACATTAACATTTTTAGAATATTATCATACCTCATACAATGTAAAATAGGGCATGAGTACTCTAGATATAGATGAGATCTATATTATGTTAACTGATTATTTAAAGCTGACTTGTCAGACATTGTCCTGTCAACATTTTGATATTTTTATTTAAATGTCATAAAAAAAAACTAAGTTATCTGTGGTCATGGTATGTAATGTGGAAAAGAAATTGCGCCTTTACAAATTTGTTGAAATGTTATGCTGACTGTAAAAACCATGTTTATGAAATTTTGAATAACGATACTATTTATGACTATAAAACTTACATACACCGTATAACATACACCCTGGCTGGAATATATACAACCTGCTCTTACAAACATTATAATTCATTATATTTGCCAAACTAACAAATTGGTATATAAGATAAAACAGTAGATATATAAGTTAGTTTTGATATGGATTTCAAGATAATCTCGAAGGATACTGAGGTGCTAAAATATACCCTAGGTCTTACCACTTCTATAGCTGATTGTAATTCCATATTTTTTGGACCACCGTATTTAAATATAAAATGTTTGGCTACATTAACGCTGTATGATATGTTTCTATGTATTCAGAATTACTTAGTTCCATATTTCGTTGTTTTATGCCAATACTGAAATTACTATTAATTCTGCTAATTCCTTTTATTGCATTTATGTTTTGCGTTAAGATTTTAAAAGCAGAATTGACGAATTAATTAAAAACAGTAGTGCTTCACGAAATTTATCATTTTTGCACTACCTTTAGGTTCTAAGAATTAAATTGTCAGTTATTAGATTTTCAGAAATTGGTATCATTATCATTCCTTGATTTATTAATTATTATTGGTGTACTAACACTTCTTTTTCCTAAAATGTATTTTTTTTTAAGTTTAGAATGACAAACTTTTTGTTTTTAAATTATGAATTAGGTACTTGTAGGTCTCAATACATAGTATTAACAGAATTGTGTGTATAGGTTATATAATCAATATCATGTATGTATCGGTTTTTGTTTATAAATATATAAATCTTTATTATCTCCTGATTCTTTTTTTTTTATTTTATCTACATTTTATCAAAATATTTTATATTTTATCGAAATGATAATAATGATGATTTTATTGTACTCTAGCATTGTCTTAACGTATATAAATAAAAACTTTTTAGCTTAATAATTTAAAATGAAATTAACCAGTAGGTTAATTAATTATTCACTGTAAACTCTAAAATTAGTTTCTAAACAGAAAAACGGCTATCGCTGGGGGAATTATCAACAATTCGTTAATAATGAAATATAATCCAAAGATGTTAATAATGACGTGTACTTTATTTTATAATTATTAGGAATTCATTATTCCCAAGTTTTTTTAATGAGATGTGCGCATTTTTCGGCAAGTGCCATTATGGGGGCTTGGATGTTGCCAGTAGTCAGCTGTGGTATTGAGCCAGCGTCACACACGCGAATATCTGGAATAATAATAACAAAGCTATATCATAATACTTTTGGACAACTGTATTTAATTAGACATGAAGTGAATTATTTCACTATAGGAGGCATGTTAAAAAAGTTAAGTTGTCTTTTTAATGCCGCACACTACATACTCAAGATTATCTCATTTGCAGAATAGTGTAACAAAACTAAAAACCTTTAAAAACCAAGCCTCTTACATCTTATACAGATTATTATATGTATACCTGTTCAGCTGATATGTGTGCTAGTCTAATATAAATATGCCTTCTGTTCCAACACAGTTTAATTATCGTTTGGTTTCGCTAAGTGTAATTTTCGTTATTTTTATCAAAGTAGATTAACGAGAACAATAGGAGACAGGCTTGGATTTTTATTGTTCCTTTAAGTACCTTCAAGAAACTAGAGGTTTTTAAAGATCTTGACTTGATATTTTTTAAGAGGCGTAGCTTTTCTGGGTGGTCCTAGAATGCCTAGATCTTGTTGAGTACACTTTAATTCTGTTACCTTTGTTTATGTTTTTGAAATCTAATCATTTGTTAAGTTTAATTAAATAGTAAAAAAATAATCATTGACTGACTGACTGTCTATATTTTTAATTAGTTATGTTGTCATTTGTGCTCAAAGACTGAGACTCAGACTACCGACCTAATTATTCACAATTAGTTACAAATTCAGTGCATAGATAAGTAATTATGTGCTTACGTTCAAGGTGGAAGACTTGGAGTTCTGAATTAACAACCGAGCCAAGGGCTGTTGTACCGACCATGTGGTTTTGTGGGTCAGTGTACACACGAATAATGCATTCGTTCCACTCATCAGACCAGGGTTCGGCAGTGTCGTCGCAAACCTTTGTGTATTTTCGGTCTAACTCAACCTTGTGTTTCTCATATTTAGCGTTCTGGAATGTCATTAATTTGACAATATCAACCACTAGTTAGGTGATCTCATTATTTATAATTACTACAGAAGGACTTTGCTGATAATGTATACTGCTAATTCTAAGAGAAATGCTGCTACGGGGTTAACGTTTCAAAAGATTTATTATGTAAGCACTTATGTGCTAGGCAAATATTCAGAGATATAATATAATAGTCTATATTTTCTGAGCTGTACGTACCCTAAAATGATCAGGTCAATTACCTATATTTTAAGTATTATTAAATTGAGCTTCTTAAGTTGTTTATTGAGTGCGACGGTAAGATCCTTTATGAGGGACTAGCAGACCCGTGCAACTTCTTCTGGGTCTCTCAAAATGAATCATTTTCCCCGTTCTTGCAAAAAAAATATCGTGCTGGGTTCCTATTGGTCGTAGCGTAATTTTTATAGCCTTTCTCGCTAAATGGGCTATCCAATGTTAGAAGAATTTTACAATCGAACCTACTACTGGTCCGAATAGAAAAATTATTTTAGTCCGGAGTAAATCCAGAGATGACCCTGAATATACAAACTCACAAACTTTACCTCTTTATGATTTTAGTATAGATTAATTTTTAATTAGTATTTTCATTGATACCTATTTACAACTCAAATAATAACTCCTATTTTTAACGGAGGCAGCCAATAAGGAAGTAGGTAACTTATTTTAATCTTTGAAATTACCTTGCCGAAGAATATTTGTTTTAAGTACATAAGTCCATCCTTCAACACCACCATGTCATCTGGGTGGTCAAAATAGTTAGGAAAGAAAAGTGGCGGGTCCAGAGGGTTCGTAGAATTCAGGATCATGTATCCAACACTGCGTGGCAGTAGTGATACAGCGTTTGCCCTGACAACAACTTAATTTTATCATAAATTGATCATAACATTAGAAATACGAGTACATTATTTACCTATATGCAATGCTTTTATGTAGTGCTTGCCAAATGTTTTAATGGTGTTCGGAATGGTACAAGTCAAAATAAGTAAGGCTAAGTATGTGTATAGGTAAACAATAATGAATCACAAATATCTTTAATATAAAGTTTTTTTTTGCGTATTATTTATTTATTGTTAGAGGTCATTCAATTTATTGACTATAGGTATATTTACTGTATTTAACTGATTACGTAAAAACTAAAATACGTATATTAAGTATACACAAGTGTGTAGCCGGCCTATGAGTGCCCAACAAGTGTTATTGTTTTTCAGAATAAGAAGTTGACCGTTTCATGAAAAACCGACCGTTTCAAAAATCATCTTTGCAATGTGATAAATAAACCTCCTAAGATCTCGGTAAGAACTTCGCCGTTAAAGACTACAAAATGCGTTAGAGATTAAATCTTAGTCTGAGATTTGTTTCCAAATCAGGGCCTCGATTCAATAACGCCGCGTTTCCAGAACGCGTAAATTCAATTTGAAAAGTTTAATTTTGGTATTCAAAAACATCACGTTTTTAAAACGCAATTTTACTTAATCAGGGCCTAGGAGTAATTGCAAGCAGTACACAAATTTTGTTAGATCTTAACTTACGATATATTAGTGCCAGCCAAATAATTTGGCGTAGCGGGTTCGCCAATAACTCCAGTTTTAGAGCACTCCGCATAAAAGCCGTTGAAAAAGAACTGAAGGTCTGGATTCCGTTCCCACTTAGCAAGGCTTGAGCACAAAAGTCCAGTCACCTATGTAAAAAAACTATGGTTAAAACATTACGGTATAAAACTATATTAATATTTCAATATTTAAAACGTGAAAGATTGTAATAACTGATGGACGGAAATTTATGACTTTTTAACTCAGAAACGGCTGAATTTAAATGATGTCCTCCACGTAGTTTTTAGCAAAAGTTAGTGTGCGTTACTTAGACTATTTATCTAAGATGCATTGTAGGTATATATCGCGCGACAGCAATTCATAGAATAAATTTGAAAATTCCATAGTCAAGAATAGTAGATAGTAGATAGAATAGTTGATGTTTCATTTTTTAAGATATATGGGGCAAACGAGCAGACGGGTCACCTTATGGATAATGACTACTGCCGCCCATGAACGCCTGCATCTGAGGAGTTACAAGCGCGTTGTCGGCCTTTAAGGTAGGATCTAAAAGGCCGGCAACGCGTTTGTCACTCCTTTAATTTTCCGTGCGGAAATCCCCTCGGATACCACCTATCGGTGGCAAGTCGGACTCGAACCGACTAAAACCGCACGCCGTCTCGGGTACTAATAGCCGGGGAACCAGGTATACCCTATAAAGCAAGTCCCTGGTGCCCCGACATACCTCGGGCCATCTACAACAACAGGTAGACGACCCCCCCCGTGTGGGAACCCATGTTCCCTCTGCTCCCTGGAAGCAAGCGCGCTTCGCAACGCGCTCGCCGCCACCCCGACCTGCTTCTGCTAGGGTGACAGATGGCCTCACCTGTCACCCCCAGGCCTGCGCTTATGGAGGACGGAGGTCGTTCTGCGACCTCCGGCGCCTGAGTCGCCTGCGGTACCTGGCCCATTCCCGGGCCTGGCGGGCCGGGAGAGTCCTAAACCTCTCCCGGTCCCGCTCCGCCGTCTCCTTCGCGAGCATAACTTGCTCGCAGAAGGAGACGGCAGAGTTCCACGCACTCTCGCTCCGCACGATAGCCGCAATCAGGCTATCGAGCGAGAGAACTCCCACTCTGATGGCACTCTGCCAGCGTGTGGAGAGCCGTGTCCACGGTCTGGCCATCGCAGTGGCACTCAGGCGTTGGCTCCTTGCGGATCAGACACAGGTGATCCCCGAAACATCCTTTCCCAGTGATCACCTGCGTCAGTCGGTATGAGAAGGTCCCGTGACGCCTCTCGAGCCAATCCTCCATAACGGGTCTTACCGCCGCGATGATTTTACCGCCGCGAGCGTTTGTCACTCCTGACTTGCAGACGTTCATGGGCGGCGATGGTCACTTTCCATTAGGTGACCCGCTCGGTGATACTTCATTTCATACATTAACTCTGCCTAGGTTATTTAATTGGCCAAAGTCCGTCATACTCTTAGCTCTTCAATAACAATATTGTGCGTAAAGGTTCTTCTACTAACTAATAGTAGAAGTAGAAGGTATAAGGTGAGTATTTTACTAAAAGATTTTAATAAAAAGAAACGGTTAACAATTACATTAATACCTATTTCCGATAAATTAGAGATACTTTACCTGAGTTATTCCACTACAACTCATAGGTCCTCCTTTGGTAAGCAAATACTCTGTTAAGGCATTCCAATCCAAGGTTCTTGTATTAGCCTGACTAGTCACTAAGTAAAGAGTAACTCCAATATGATTCTTTAAGTTCTGACCGACAGGTAAGTCAGCGAGGATTGAGATATTTAACCTCCCTAGGTGAAATTTTGGTCCAACGCCCGATAGCATCAGGATTTGGGGACTGTTTAAAGTACCTGCACTAAGAATGACCTGAAATTTTTAAATCGTTGATTTTTATAAATATTTAATATTTTATTATTATTATAAATATTAAATTCTGGTCACATTTCTAGGTATAAGTACTACTGACTCAATGCTTTTTAACATAAATGTGATAGTACTTTACTTAAATCTTGACTTATTTTTATAAATTCGTAAGTAATTCTGCCAGTTTGTGTGTCTATTTTATATTATTTATACCGTAAAGATGAACAGGACCTTCGAAAAGGACATAGGTTATGTTATACAACGAAACAACGACGAAGCAACGACTTCTCCACTTGCTGTGGTCAGTTTTGTCAGGTAGCTTATTCTAAGAGATTGTACGAACACTTTTGACCCCCGATTCCCTCTCGATCGCTCTTTCAATCGAAAGAGTATTGGAGAACCGGAGGTCGTGTCGTACGAGCTTACTGACCTCTTGGTTGAGAGTCCGCTTTGACGACAAACTGACAGGCGGGTTTTAACTTCGTTTCTTCATTAGCCCTAGGGTCTCTTTTGAAATCTCGTACCTTCTTTCCTTAGGATCTGAACTACATTATCGAAGTTCTGGTTTACGTCGGTTGTAGTTTTTAAGGCAGCGAATCGGTTTTCCAGTTTTGACTGGGAAGTCGGTGATCACTATAGGTATTAAAACCTATTGATTACTGAGACGTCTCTGAATAGGCGCTTCCTATACGTCATGATGAAATCGATCTCATTTCTGATCACCCATAACCCAATTTAGCGTTGCAGTCACCCATAACAATGGTTTATGGATATGTCATCGAACATACGACGTCCACCTCGACGTCCGAGTGTGCGGACTGAGGTCGGTGCGTACACTTGCACAACGTGACGCTGCTGTCCGTCATTGGGATAGATATACCGCCATCAGTCGGTTGCCAGAGCCTCGTTCGTCGTTTAGCAGGATGGACCGCTGGCAGATGAGGTTGGCTTGGGGCGAAAGATGGTGGCTCACCCCCTCACACCCTGAACGTATGTTACCGACAATGATGTTATCTCGCAATGATCTTATCTCAAGAACCTTAAAATATCATTTTACATCTACGTGCATAACTTCCGAACGACTGCACCAAATTAGATTTTTTTTTAATTGTTGATAATAAATATAAGGCTTGTATAAAAGAAAATAAAGAAAACGAACATTTAAAAAATAATCTCATCTCATCTCATCTCAGTTTGTATGTTTGGGGTAAACTCAGGAACTACTAATTCGGGTACTAATTTAAAAATTCTTTTATTGTTGGATAGCCCCTTTATCGAGAAAGGACATAGGCTACATAATATCATGCTACGACCAATAGGAGCCGAGTATCAATAAAAGATGTTGCGGAAACAGGCAACATTTATTCCTTTTGAGACCTAACCTTTCCAGGAACTATGTTATAGTTTTAACTAAAGGAGTGCCTATGTGGTGTCTACATTTGTTCTTGATACTTAATCTTTCAGAATACAGAAACGAAATATTTGAAAGGTCACCTGGACCTGGTGTTTTGGAAGTAGGTACCTGTTAACTGAATTTTCCAAACACGTTACAAGATGGACAATGTAATGAAAAGCTTGGTATTGCAATGTAGAATGAGACATGGCGGGGAGCTTCAAGCAATAATTTGAAAACCATCCCTGATGGTTATTTAGCCAACCATCGGTTTATTGGTTACTTACCTCTTTATCAGCATATACGGTCTTACGGTAACCTTTAGCATCTAAGTACTCTACGCCAATTGCTCGTTTTTTTCGGAATATTACCCTTGTGACGTGGGCATGCATCGTCACGCTTAGGTTAGGTCGTATTGACCTCGGAGCGAGGTAGGCACGAGCTGTCGTGTACCGCTGTCCGTTACTATTGTAATTTACAAACAAAAACATATTAGGGAATTAAGAATAATGGATAATGTAGGTAAAGAAACATTTTGATAAACAAAAATTTGAACAAAAAGTAAATTTTCCTAATTTATGAACTACTAAATTTATGAATTTATTACATTTCCGATTCCTCCGATTAACTTCTGATTAATTACATTACGGGTCCCAAGACAGTTTAAATTTTCGTTGAACTTCCCGATTATACTTAATCGGTGGGCTTTTGGTCACTGTTGTTAATTCTGGTGTACATGGTAATGAGCGTTAGCATTAGTCCCATAAAAAAAATAGTAACTTTCAGGCAAGACCCGTGTCTTACTAACGGTAAAAAATGTTCGCTAATGAAATGAAATGGAAGTAATACCAGTTTGTGTTGTTTATGCATTTGGCTCATTTAAGCTTAACTGGTGGTACTGACTTGGTGAAAGCCTGGACGATTGTGAAACCGACTGGGGTGTGTGGGTTGTTCATATCTTCGATGATTTCAAAACCATTAGCTTCCAGCCTTTTCAAGAGGTCATATACTTCCGGCGGTTGATAGTTAAACTGTAAACACCAATTCATTTTATATTTTTAAATCAGTCTTAAAGCATAGTAAAGAGAGGGAAAATGGAATTGACCAAACACAAATGAAGAAGTCTGGCTCTTTCGAGAGAAGCAAGGTGTGTGTGCAATTAAGTCACACTCGGTCTCTGGAAACCAGAGGAAACTTAGGCGACACCAAAAGAGGTAGGAAGATGTCTAAACTGAAGCGGAGATATAGTGCCGTATGCGTTATGTGTAATAAACATTTAATGGAAAAGAAAGTAACTTTTCTATGTCATTTCAGTTTAGCGTAACATGTAAGGCTGTAAAATTACCAAGCAGTTTTAAATACAGAAGCAATACATAAAAGGAAAAGAAAACCAAACTTGTCACTCTAAACTGGTTTTAGTTGTAAACAAATAGTTTATACAAATATCTCACGCGTTGCACAGGCATACGTCCTTTTGCCGAGTGGTATTTACTGGAAACGAGGGTCCCGATCTGTTTGTTGCCCTCACTCATGTCAAAGTACGGTAGCAAGGCCTTCCAAGACCAACTTGTGCTATTCGCAGCTTTAACCCATGCATCGTAATCAGCTTCATGACCTCTATGGTATATCATACCGTTCAAAACGCTACTTCCACCTACAGAGACAAAAACAAAGAGAGTGAGTAACATCGTCATGACGTTGGCACTTTGTGTAGATTTGCAAATTATTTCTTTTATTGCGGGTCGACTGTCTGACATTAACCCTCCATGGGGATTTAATCGTTTTACTAGTGGAAAAGGAATAGAGTAACTTAGGGTAAGAAAAAAGTAAAAGTTGAATAAGTTAATGTAGAGTGTACCCTAAGTCTTGGAGGGGAAACGGGACTGAGTCTGGACTAGTTCGAAGTAGAACAAGATCACGCACTCATATATCCGTCCCGCTAGGATAGACATCAACAGCTCTATATCATCAACAGCCTTTAATAGTCCACTGCTGGACATAAGAATCTCCTTAGAAAGGAGGTTTTGGCCTACTATACCACGCTGCTCTATAGGTATAACATTCTTCAAAAAAAATTATATTTTCGTCTATTAATTTTTTTATAATGGGAGAGCCATGTGATACCACGGCTTCACAGAAAACCGGTTAAGCAATTTTGTCGTTGCCTTTCACCGAATAAGTGAGGTTACCGGAGCTCAAACCACCCCTTCTCCTGATTCATGGGAGGAGAGACTCAAAACGCAGCAACGCATTCTCTGACTATTGAGTTCAGAGGTCCATGGGCGGCAGGAGTGACTTATACTGCTCATTTGCCCCTCTATACCATAAAACAATAATTCAACAGTTTGGTTATGCTGCTCCGACGTTTTGGATTCGGTTACAAGTTCCTGTTTTGCCGGTTCTTGCCAGCAGCTTCATAGCTCGTCACTTCGTGGCATGTTTTCTCAGGCAACTAGTGGAGTACGAATCCACTTGTACCGTATCTTAATAAATCTATATTATATCTATAAGAAACTAACAGACTGATTTAATTAATCAGCGCATAGCTAAAACCGCTGGGAAGGCTGGCTAGAAGCATGAAATTTTGCACAAATGTTCTTTTGGTGACGCCGGTGTGCAGTAAGAAAGGATTTTCAAAAATGCCACCCCTAAGCGTGTAAAATAGGGAGAAAAAATATTAGAAATTTACATGAATTTTCTTTATTAACCGACTCCAAAAACACAAAATAGAAGGTTATCAATTCGTTTGTGTTTTTTTTGTATGTTTGTTAGCGATATCTCCGTCAATTGAGGACCGATTTTCATAATTATTTTTGTAATCGAAAGAGAATACTCCTAAGGTGGCCCCATTATCACCAAATCAGGATCTGATGACGGGATCATGGGACTTCAAACAGACTAGAAGGGACTATTGCTATTATAATGTTATATTGAGGGCACTTATTATAAGACGGCGGAACGGGACCGGGAGAGGTTTAGGATTCTCCCGGCCCGCCAGGCCCGGGAACGGGCCAGGTACCGCATGCGACTCAGGCGCCGGAGGTCGCAGAACGACCTCCGTCCTCCATAAGCGCAGGCCTGGGGGTGACAGGTGAAGCCATCTGTCACCCTAGCAGAAGCAGGCCGGGGTGGCGGCGAGCGCGTTGCGAAGCGCGCTCACTTCCAGGGAGCACAGGGAACATGGGGTGCCCACACGGGGGGGGGGGGGGGGGGTCGTCTACTCGTCTGTAGATGACCCGAGGTATGTCGGGGCACCAGGGACTTCCTTTCTAGGGTATACCTGGTTCCCCGGCTATTAGTACCCGAGACGGCGTGCGGTTTTAGTCGGTTCGAGTCCGACATGCCACCGACAGGTGGTATCCGAGGGGATTTCCGCACGGAAAAAAAAAGGCACTTATTATAGGTTTTTTACTTAGATTTGTAATTATTTTTCATTTTTAGTGCTCTTTGTCATGCTTAATTTTTGGTAGTAGCGTTTTCAAACTGATAGTAAATACTCTTAAAGTAATAAAAATCGTTGTTACTAATTTTTCAAAACAACCTTTAAAAGGTGGGCAAGTCTGAATGGGAAACAATTTTTTTTAACTTATCGATTCCAAACTCTCAGTATAATTATATTCTCTATCAAAAGTAATAATGATTAGAAAACTATTTCTTTAACTTTTTATTACGTAACAATGTTTGTTACTCAATCACGCCAAAACGACTTTCCGGATCTAGGCGAGATTTGGTACATATATACATTATAGTCTAGAATGGGACAGAGGCTACTATTTATCCCTTATTTACCTAATTTGACTTTCTTAGGTACTATACATAACGCCTAAATGAATATTGCCTATTAGAAAAAGTTTTTTTTTAAACTCACCTACAACCTTTCCTCTTGGCCAAATGCATCCTTCCTTCTTATTTTCGAGACAGTAATTTCCAGGCTGAGTCCGGTAATTCCAATCCACACCAGGGTAATTCCAGAATAATCTGTAAAATCCTGGCGGGCGTGCAGCAATCGGCTCCGGCCCACCTGCTTCTAGCAGCAGCACCTGAGAAATTAAGAAAATCGAGTATCAATCCGACTAATCCGACTTATCATGTTTAGAATCAGAATCTGAAATATTATTATTATAGGTTGGACTTACCTTATATTTACCATCTTCGCTAAGTCTTCCTGCGACGATCGATCCCGCTGTTCCAGCACCCACTACGATGAAGTCATAGCTGCTCGTCGGTTCTACCGACTCCAATCGTTTTGAAGGAGTAGATATGTGGCATCTGCCCCAAAGGTATGACTCCAACATCAGCATAAACAGATAACGGCCACATATTGGTGAAAAATATACCGATGGGCCTTCTGGGATTATAGAGCTGCCGCAAATCTACAGAAACAGAAGATTACCATTTTCGTTTCTTTGTGTTTAAATTGTCACTTACTGGTATGTCTCATTTTTTATTTTTTTTAAGCGCTTTGTTTATCGAGGATGGATTTTGACTAATTTTTATTTATAAAATGTACAAATTTTTCTATTCGTAGATCCACTGGTTTGGCATAATGCATAACATTTTCAAAAATTGAGTCTAATCAATATAATTAAAAATTATAATTAAAATCAATAAAATTAATAAAAGGGAGCAAACTACGCAGGACAACAGCACTGCAAAAAGAAGGAAAACTTGAAACAAACCCTATATCAACCCGTCTGGCCAGCGTGGTATAGTAGGCCAAAACCTCCTTTCTAAAGAGAGGAGTGGATTGTTATAGGCTGATGATGATCAATATAATTGAACTCACCTGCGGCGCTGAAATGATCTCTCTGCACATAGTTGCCGTTCTATCTAAGAAATAAAATGTTTCTGATATTTATTCTTACTTAAGTAGGTATCGTAAAGTTTGAATAATTGAATTGGTTAAAAGTAGTAGATAAGAATGTAGGTACGAGTATAATGTGGCACTAATGATTGAAGCATTTTACGTTTATATTTCCGAATTCTATACTGTGTGTGTCTTTGAACAATAAAATTATTTACTTAGCATTTTTTTCGACTGCTTCGAGTGCACTCGAAGCAGTCGGTGTGACATAATTAATAGTGTTGGTCATTCCACTAAAGACGAACAATTATAATGAAGTAATCATATCCGATTAAAATTGAAAAAAATGCTAAGTAAATAATTTTATTGTCACGAAACAAGAAATTGTAGAATCCACAAATAGTAGTCCCAAGTTCCCAGCGATACAGATTCCTTGACTGTACCATTTTTATTTTGTTTATTAAATAACAAACCATACCTAATTGGTTTGTTTTTTATGTGTGTTCGAATGTGCACTTGGTTCTACCGTTGTGAGCTGGTACCAGAACTTTAAAACAGTTTTTGAACCTTGGGTCCAGGGCGGCAGCCTAGATATCGAGTTAGGTGCACCAGGTGTCAACCTTTTTCAATTCAGGCTTTGGCCGCAGTAACCAGGCTACATCCCAGCATCTCTTTAAGGATCGGTGCAATGGTCCGGGAACTTAGTCAGGGTCTGCGTGCTGATCGTCAGTGCTTGAGAATACAAATTGTAGTATTTCGCCTGGCGTGCAGAAGCGTCAATAACGTCTGAGTCTCGGATATTGGTGACAAAATATAAGTCGATGTCTCTTGGTAAGTATGACATCGGGTTAAGAAACATTATTCTCATAAAGAATTGACATCCACTTAAGTACCCTCGGCTGTTTGTCTTTTTATATACGATACTACGAGCGGGGTATACAAAACTTGTCGGTTAATTACTTTTATTGCACTGTATTTACAAACACTCATTATTACTAACAAGAAATCACTATATAACTCGTTAGTTGCACTAGAAATTTGCTTCGATTTTGCACTCCAAAACGACAGAAGACTTCGTGCACTAATTTATCTGCAACTGTTGAAGCCTCTTGGTTTGGGAATGGCGAAGACTTCTGGCCACTTAATGAAATAATCCATTAGAACCATGAAGTACTTGTTTCCGCTTTCACTTTCAGGAACGGTCCTGCTACGTCTATTGCAATCCTTTTCAGGGTGCACCGACGTTGTACAATTTCAATGCACTGCTACGTGTATGGGGTCCCTTCACGGCCGCACAACTGGTACACGTGCGACACCAGTCCTCAACATCATCACGTAAGTAAATCCACTAGAATCTCTCCCTTATCTTTAACAAGGTCATCTTAATGGTCATCTTAAAATAATAATAATCTCCCATATGGCCTCCTGAACATCCGTTATGTTAGAGCTGTAGGATAGCCGGTATCTTAGCTTTAGGGACAACCATTTGCAGATAACATCTATCTCCTTTAGCGTTTTTCCATTTGCGGCACAAGACTCCGTCCTGTATGACCAAACTATCCCATTTAGTCCAATAACTTTTCTTGGTCAAACTCATCGACGCAACATAGCTCCAGTGAGGCTGTGTGATTCTCGAGTGGCTTAAAACTGAGACTCCTAGTCTCAGTTTTAAGCCACTCGAGAATCGGCTTTATATCTGCATCCTCCTGCTGTGTTCGCTCCGCCAGGCCCAGTATCACTCGCATTTGTGTCAACCATGAATTCATATTCGGTATCTGGATACCCCAAGATAGGTGTGTTGCATAGTTTAAGAAAGTTGTGATGTTGCATTTCAAGAACTTAAAAAGGTATTCTTTTAAGTTCTTGAAATGCAACGTCACAACGTTCATCCCAGCAGAAATGTATTTTCTCTGCAGTAAGTTTATGAAGGGGTTTCGAAATTTATGCAAAGTTAATACGAATCTCCCGTAGTAGTAGTAGAGCACAAACCCAAAAATGCTCTTACTTGAGTCTTTTCTCTTGGAACTGGCCAATCTTTGACGGCGGCCACTTTTTGTAGATCTGTTTGGACATCCTCTTTCGAAACCACATATCCTAAAAAGCTTACTTGCCGTTTGAAAAATGAACGAACTCTATAACGCCGTCCCTCATCATTCCAGCAATCATAGTTTCCACCTCCTTTTCTCGTGCTACCGGTAATCTTCTTGGTCACTGACGAACAGGCAACTCGTTCCCGGTGTTGAATTAAACCCGTCTTTCCGATATCAGTAGAAGAGAAAATATCGGCGTACTTAACCAACATCCTCTTAGCCTTGTCTATTTCTTCCGTATACAAAACATCTCGATAGTCTTCCAAAAATGTTGACACGTTGATTCCTGTATTCTTTTCAATATTTACAGTAGTCAGGTCTTGGCATCGACGCATCCAATCCAGATTTTCGCAAGTTCCAATCAGTGTGTCCTTATGAATCACGTGTTGCCTTTCACTAAGTACGTACACGTACTGCAGACATGTTAGTGGTACTACGAGTACTAACCCTTCAATAAGTACACACCGATGCAATTGTGAAGAGTTATGAGGAAGACTTACTCGCACGATTGTTTCTGATCTGGGAGGAAGAACAACTTTCTTTAAGCTTTACACTTTTCCTGATAATGCCCCCTCCATGAACAGTTAATTTTGACTACATCTCTATAACGCATAAGATCGCAAAATGTCCCTGAACTGCACGTAAGACTTATAATGGATATGTACAACAATGCACAAATATATGTGAGAAGTCCAGCTGGGTTGTCAGCGAGCTTTGATGTTGACGTCGGTGTTCATCAAGGAAGCACTCTTAACCGCTTGCTTTTCGACATCACCATGAACTACCAGACGAAAGAAACCCAGAAACCTGTACCGTTTAATCTATTGTATGCGGATGACGTGGCTCTGATAGCAGGCAATGCGAGTGAAATGCGAGAACATCTAGAACGATAGAGAGAAGTTCTAGAGTCAAATGAACTGCGCATTAGCAGAACTAAGACCGAGTACATGGTGTGTAGTTTCAACCCGGACGGACCTGGTGCGGCAGGCGCAAATCTCACACTTGACGGCACAAACCTTCCAAAAGTAAACAAATTTAAATACTTGGGTTCTGTAATCTCAAATGATGGTTCGATAGATGGGGATATAACAAACAGGACGACGTCTGGATGGAATAAATGGCGTGAACTTACAGAAGTTCTGTGCGACCCAAAAATGCCTATAAGAACCAAAGGCAAAGTTTACTTTGCCTTATAAACCGAAACGTGGGCCACAAAAAGAATGCAGGAACAGAAACTGCATACCACAGAAATGCGTATGCTGCGCTGGGCGGGTGGAGTTACTCTCAAGGATAAAGTTCTTAACGAGCACATAAGAGGCAGTTTCAAGGTTGCTCCTATCACTGAAAAACTTGTGGATGCCAGACTGAGGTGGTACGGACATGTATTGCGAAGACCCGACGACCATATTGGGGTCGCCTTTCCAAGTGCCTTTCCATGGCTCCAGAAGAAGATATCCAGGCAAGATATCCAGGCTCTCTTACATCTTGCCTCCAATGCTTCCAGCAGTTGCTCATAGGTTACCTTCTTACCGAGGGCTTCGAGGACAGTTAAGGCCCGATAAAGGAGACCCAAGGTGAGCGCGGTCATTGCGTGGATCTTAGTCCAGCCTTTCGCCGGCCATTCAGAACAGCCTCAAACTGGATCTGGTGGGCTAACCACGAAGATGTTCCATCAAACGGCGGCACTTTGAACCTTCGCACCGAAGGAGCAACAGTTACCGTAGTAGCCGTCCCTGCTCCAACTTTGAGGTTCCCTAACGCCTTCTTCACGTCTGCAATCTGAGTTTCGGCTTCAGTGAGACGGAACTCAAGGGAGTGAAGGTTCAGGTTCTTCAACCTCGTGTTGAAGAACCTGATCCTTCACTCCATAGTTCTTTGCTGAAGGTCTCATGAATGCCTTTTAACAAGAGCATTTGCTCCTCCTGACGGCGTTCTGTTCCTCCTGGCGGCGGGCCTGCTCCTCCTGACGGCGTTCTGTTCCTCCTGGCGGCGGGCCTGCTCCTCCTGACGGCGTTCTGTTCCTCCTGGCGGCGGGCCTGCTCCTCCTGACGGCGGATCTGCTCCTCCTGAGGGCGGGCCTGCTCCTCCTTGTCACGCTGCAGCTGTTCTTCCAATCGGCGTTCCTGCTCTTCCTGACGGCGGACCTGTTCGTCCTGACGGCGGGCCTGCACCTGAAGCATCACCATTAAAGCCGTGATATGTGGATGGATGGATGTGGATGGAATGGCTTCCAATGCTGGTTGCTGACCCTCCAATGTAGGCAGTTGTGCACCTCCAAATTGCCTCTCTTCAGCCTCTTGCTGGCGCTGGCTTCTCATACGGATGCGCTCCGTGTCTTCTTTGGGTAAAACCCGCATACTTTTATCCCACTTCTGACACCAAATTGTTACGAACGGGGTATACAATAAACAAAAGTTGTCGGTTAATTACTTTTATTGCACTGTAAACACTCACTATTACCAACAAGAAATCACTATATAACTCGTCAGTCGCACTAGAAATTCGCTTCGATTTTAATTCGCTATGTCGAAAAACGATACTGTCCCGATACGGCCAACACGCTCGGCTTTTATAGTGCTATCGAAATTACTAGACTAATCCCGAAAATCCGATGGAATCTTCCAGACAAAATCACGTACAATAAGGTAAGTAGAAATTTGTATAATCTTCAGAAATTCGACACTAGATGTCACTGCAAGCAAGTATCCGAATCAAGAACCATAATAGCAATGCGTAGCGTTGTGTTCTACTTGATACTAGATGGCGCTGACCTCCAGACACAACACAAGACCCACCCAATCCTATGGCGCAACAATTATAATAAAAACCTTACACATCTTACACACGGCCGTCTGAGCCCAAACTTCGCAGACCCTGTACTTTGGTAACCAGACTGCTGATAAATATACTTATATATTTCATAGATAATACATGGATTGATATTTTGAATAAATGACGGGACAGGAAACGACCGAGCAGACGGGTCACCTGATGATAAGTGACTACCACCGCCCATGGACACCTTCAACTCAAGAATTACAAGTGTGTTGCTGCCCTTTCAGTGCCAAACAATTTTTATAGTTTCTCAGACTGAGAACATAATAATTGACCGTTTAATGCAAAAAACACAGCTAAAAATACCTACAACTCTTAAGACTGACTCTTTGGTGTGTTAGACCTTCTATGAACTGGTCATTTTCTATGAAGCCGTAATGGCTAAAGAAGGAGACTGCTGAATGGGACCGGGAGGGGGCTGAGGCCTAGGGCGTGGATACTGCCTAGTTGGTACTGCGACGTTTCGGGGGGACTTGAAATCATATGGTCCTGTCCTCTCCAGAGTAGGGCGCCCGATGCCGGTCGTCGGGGTGGCTTTTAGTTATGGTTAACACCACATACTCCTGGCTTCTGCGTCCCCTAGGAGCCGGAGAACCGAAGGTATTTTCCACTTTACTTGTCCGTACTAATTTCGACGAAGTATTTTACTATAATTCCTTACAAAGTGCAATGTCTATTTAAATATAAAATTTAGATTTAATGTTGCAGTAAAATGACAACCTCTTATAAAATACTTCTATAAAAAAACGCATCACTTACTTTCACTTTATACACTTTCAGGTACAATATTCAATTTTTCTGCTATTCTATATCATCACAAATGTTTCATACAAATTAGATAACTTTTTTTGCAATTTGGATTTGTACACTGAGTAATACCTGTTATGAGTTATCACAATTTATGTCGATTGCCTCATACTTTTACTGACTGTAACTCGCTTAATTACGTCGTTATGAAAAGATCTACACTTTCAAACTAACTGTGAACTGTTTTAACTCATAAAAGGTACCGAAGCGAAAAACAATAAATTTAAAATATTGTAGGTTTCCTTCGATTTTTCCAACATTAAAGAGCAACTAACCTACTTTGGTAATATTTAAACAATAATTTAATTAAACTCAACATGTTAGGAAGTAGTCAATGTAACACATTCACTGCGGCGTGAGGTCAAAACTGCCTGATAGTAGACCTTAAGCCAGTATCGCGCGTGTAAAAACACGTGTTTTCCTCTCGTGCGGGAACCTCTCAACCGTAAGACATATGACAAAGATACAAATAGTTTTCTTTATGTCTTCGAGGCCTCGCTTCGTTGGTATAAAACAAATATTTGAGGTTAAAATAAACCTCAAATATTTGTTTTATACCTATTATTTGTTTTGGTACATTACGAAAGCGTAAATTAATGTCAAGGTATTTCAATATGTACATATTTATCGTTTGAAGAACTAAAAAACGTCACTCATCCAGTAATTTAAGCTAAATCACAAATTATTTTGGTTTTTCGTATGACAATAAATAAACCCTTAATATTAAATCTACTTCAACATTTATCGATATAAATTCATACCCGTCACAAGTACTACCCGAGTTTTGTGCTATTGAGAAAACAAAATCAATAATAGTTTAGGTGTTTCTCTTAATCAGTTTTAGTTAATCATTAAAGTAAAAAGTGATTTTCTCACAAAGCTAAAAATGTATCACGTTCATGGTCAAGCCATAGCTTGACCATGAACGTGATACATTTTTACACATAAGAAGAAAAGGCGATTTCAAACAATTTTAATTTTTTATGAAATAAAGATATTTTGAATTTGTATTTAACATATATCAAACCATTGAAACTTGAGGCAGAAAAAGTTTCAACCGTACTGTAAACTACTTTTTTTAGACTAGCTTCGCCCCGCGGCTTTGCCCGCGGTTATAACAACAAACGCGGGTAACACCGCGGGTCTCGGCTAGTTACAAATAAAAAAAAACAATTATTTATTTAACCAATTTATATTAAAGCATTATAATTATTATTAAAGATTAATTCGTTGGCTAATGATGCCAAGGAGAAAGCCGATCTCCTTGGCGAACTCTGCATCTCACTCAATTTTGGATTATGCGGAAAAAGGTACCGCTGACCGAGACGTCGCGTAGTCCCGGACTCCTGGAAGGTAGCATTTATGCATTCGATTCCTAAAAAAGGTGACCGCTCTAAACCTTTTAACTACAGACCTATGGCCATAACTCCCTTGTTCTCTAAGATTATGGAACCCGTAATAAACTGGCAGCTCCTCCGGTACTTAGAAGATCACCAGCTACTTAATGACCGACAATTTGGTTTTCGCCGGGGTCAATCAGCTGGTGATCTTCTCGTCTTTATAACACACCGGTGGGCACAGGCGATTGAGACCTCTCTTGGTCAGGAGTTGGAGGTTAGTTTGGACATAGCGAAGGCCTTCGGCAGTTCGGTTTCGGCATAAGGCACTTCTCTCGAAGTTCCTTACCTATATTGAAATTATGTACTTGGGTCACCAGTTTCCGTGCAGACAGAAGCATTAAGGTCGTTGTCGACGGTGCATGCTCCGACTTGTGTGCAACACGACATGTTGCAAACTAGTAGCCAGGACCGCCGGGTACAGGTGGTCAGAGTGTGCACCGCACACGAGTGCCATTTTCAAGCGGCAAAAACAGAAGAAATTTAAACAAAAATGAAACATTCTCAAAATTGGCATATCTAATACATTTTGATTATGTCATCATAATAGTAACATCTATTGATCGGTGTACGAAAGTAAATGAAAAGGCTTATAAGCTTCAAATTACTTTATTAAATGTATAATTTGAATCACTTACGACGCGGGCGGAATTCCCAAATATCTCATACCGGGCGATAGTTTTACTTTCGGGAAATTATGGGGAGCCATTATCCAGGCACGCTGTTATTGCCGCGGTAAGACCGATTATGGAGGATTGGCTCGTGAGAAAACACAAGGATGCTTTAGAGATCACCTGTGTCTGATCCGCAAAGAGTCAACTGCGATAGAGCGTCAATACAACGCTTCATACGCTGGCAGAATGGCCTGGATTGTATGGAGCAGAGGCATGACCCCGTGACTGATTGCGGCTGTGGTACGGAGCGAGCGCGCGGAGTCCGCTAACTCTAGGCTAAAAGCTAAAATTAGACTCACTAAGGAAAGGATGAATTGGGACAGGGAGAGGCTTAGAAACCTCTTCCGGCCTGCCAGGCCCAGGAATGGACCAGGTACCGCAGGCGGCTCAAGCGACGGAGGTCGTTGAATGATCTCCGTTATCCATAAGCGCAGGCCTGGGGACGCGACCCGCTCCGGAGCGCCTTTAGAGGCAGGGAGGGAAACTGTGGTCACCACACACCAGGGCCACTTGTAAGCCGTAGATCACTCGGGGTCCGTCGGAGTTTCAGGGATTTCCTTACTAGGTTACACCTGGTTCCCCGTCTACTACTCAAGTCGTCGCGGCAAAACACGGCACTGCAGGGCGGCATTCAGCAGCTCGAGACAAATACCAACTGAAACGTTGAAGAAAAATCATTCTTCCATGGGAGAGCCATGCTTCAGGACAAATGGGCCGACCTTACGATGTGATACAGTATGATTACAGCACTATGGTATCAAAAATAAAGCACTGGAACTTTTTGCTTCATATCTATATAATATTATTCAGAAAGTTGATATTATTGGTGAGCGGTCTCCAAGCACTGTGGTAGTAATGGGCGTTCCACAAGGTTCTATTCTCGCCCCTTTTTTGTTTATATATATATTAAAGACTTATCTCACCTCACCAAGGACAATCTCGGATGGATGATTAAGGATGTCAAGCTAAACCTTGTGGATACAACGACATTTTTAGGAATAACATTAGATTCTAAGCTACAGTGGGGCTCACATTTAGATAAATTGTCGAGTTGACGCAGCTCAGCAGCGTACGCAGTTAGAAAAATTCCAGAATTGACTGATATTTTGGTCATCCAGGACCGAGTTTTGTGCCGTGTAGGCAAAGAGATTGGGATAAACACATCCAACCGTTTCTTCTGTCATACCGAAGTGCAGTCCACGAAAGTACTTCAGTAACACCAGCTTTCGCAAACTTTGGAAGAGAACTACGGTTGTCCGCAGACTTGATCACTGGAATACCTATACCTATATATGGAATAAATATGAATAAATAATAGTGTCAAAAATCAATTTGGTTACCTACCGGATACAGAAGTGTCCAGGAAGCGCTCCAAATATTGTTCATGGGGATTGATTGACGCGATATTATGGAATCGATAATGCTCGTGACGAGCATGTCTTAAGAGGGGGCAGTGGTGCGCCATAG